TTATAAGGTTTAACTTTTATAAAACTCACCACCCCCACAAAATAATAAGGGTGACGAACATTTAACACTAATGTACTATTAACTCATATAATTTCTTATAACTTTTGAAAATTTATTAGAGTTTATTTTAGGGGTGAATGAGGTATCTCTCTTCATTCACTCGTTAATGGAGCAATAAAAATATTAAAATATCTTTTCTATAATTAAAAAATATATAATAAAAATTTTACTTAATGTAAAATGACTATTATGGCTTTTATGATACACATTCAGTTAAATAAGGACATTTTGGGTATTTAAGCACTAAAAAAATGGTAAACAAAATTCAATTAATGTAGAATTTCAGTTTAAAAAAAAAGAAAATCAATCAAAGAAGGACATTTTGGATACTTAATACAATTAATTAGTCCTCTGCCAGACAAGTGATATTTACAATATTTTTAAGGGAGTTATACCCAAAGTAAAAAAGAAGGGCGTTATTTGCTCAAAATGTAAACTTTGGAGTGTTTTATATATAATAAATAAATGAATAAGAAAAAAATATAAACTTTATGTAAATTCAAATTCAGAGCTCATTATTTTAAGGGAGTCGATATTCGCACTCCATTTTTCAATATTTGCACTACAATCTTAAATAAAATGATAATTATAATCTTACCTTTATAAGTAAATAATTATTACTTTTTAAATGGCACAACTGTCCTTTCATATTTTTTCTCCTTATCTCTAATCTTTAATATTTTAAGTAAATTTTGACAACACAAATAAAATAAAATAAATTTTCAATAAATTATTTTTAAGGGACCAAAAAAATAAATAAAAAGTTGTTATGTTGAATAAATTGCCTCTTTTGGCAGGATAAAAAATAAATAAATAAAAAGTAACCATTTAAAAAATTATTTCTTTTGACATGAAAAAAAAAAAAAAACCCAAAAATATATTTATTAAATAAATTATACTGTTGTCAAGATCCCAAAAATAATAATAATAATAATAATAAAAAGTACAAAAAGAAGATGATTAAAAAAATTATCTTTATTGAATAAATTATCTCTTTTGATAAGACCAAGAAAAAAAAAGGGTTATTTTTATAGAATAAATTATTTGTTTTGAGAGGACCCATAAAAAATTACCAAAAAATAAAGTTACCTCTTTTGATAAATTTGAAAAAAAATTCAATTTTGTTAAATAAATCTCTTTTGATTGTACCCAAAAAACAAAAAAAAAAAAAAGTCATTATGGATAAATTATTCCTTTTGACTGTCTAAAATAAAATTATTAGTATAGAATAAATTATTTGAGAGGTGTTCTGGAAACAACAACTAGAGAGGGAAAGCTATTGTTAAAATTTCATTTTATTTAGTAAGTGAAAAAAAAATTAAAAAAATTAAAAATAAAATAAAAATTTGTTTTAACCCTTTACATAGAAGAAAATTTCAATACTTAACTTCTGATTAAACCACCATATATCTTTATATTCTTATTAACATTTCAACAAATTTGGTATAAAAACTCTCAGTTTCTCAAATGACAGATGTGACAGAGAGAGGGCCCCACTTACTCTTGTATTAACTGGAGTGCAATATCCATAAATTAATAAGCTTACGTATTACCTTCAATGGACCACCTTAAAAAGCCACCTCATATTGCCCATCACTTTAAGACGAGGGTGCCTTGTTTGGCTCCTAATGACACGGGTATAGAATTGTTTATAAATTTATATTTTAAATTTGTCGTGGGCAGAAATTAATTTTGAGATCCGTCCTTCGTCCTATCCCGCCTTATATATATATATATATATATATATATATATGAGTTATAGATGTATGAGTTATGAGCACCACTCACTCATCACTCACGCGTCAGAAGTTCAAAACCCATTTCACACCCACCTTCCTATTAAATTATTAGTGACAAATCACCGCTTGATTATGCGGTTAGCTTTTAGAAAACATTTGTTTGTAAAATAAATAATTAATTAAGAAAATAAAATATAAACTTTGGATAAATACAGACTAATAGATCATAGTCTAATGACAACCTCTCCTCTCTTAAGAAGTGAAAAATTCGAGTAGTAGATAATTTGTAAAATATATGATTGTAAAATATGTATTTGAGTACTTAATTAATATATAAAAATAATAAAAGAAGTGTAATACAATTTAGTACTGTAATTGTTTATGTCAGGTGGACACTTGGGCCAATGTATTGTGCATAATTCTTAAATAATGCATACACATAACAATTAATACAAATATACTTTTAAGTTTTTCTCTTAAAAAGAATAGTGACACTTGTACACGTCATAACATGGAATTACACTTCCCATTATGACAAAATTATTATTATAAACCAATGTAGAAGAGTAATTACATATATAATATTATGATACTTTGAATTATGTGATATATTCTAACTGTTTTATTTAATAAATTATAAATAATAATTTATATTTATATTAGTAGTATCCAAACAATATTTGTGTTTTATTTTTTCAAAATTTGATGTCGGCACTATCCAATAAAATTATTATTTTATTTTAACAAAATCAATAATTTAGAATTCGTTTGGGGTTGATATATGTTGGAATAAATAAAAAATTCACTTTTATCAATAGAGCTGTAAAAAAAAATTACGGTCCCCGGTTAAAAAACCTACAAAAATAGGACATCAACGTGTAAGTCATTGTATGGGCCCAGTTGTTCCTTCTTTATATATATATATATATATATATATATATATATATATATCCTCCAAAGTAATCATGCATCATCTCTCTTCCAATTACAAGAGACTCTAATCGTACCTGTATATTCAACAAGTCATTAGATTCAACATCCTAAGAGTTGCAACTTGATATATTTTTTTTTCTTCCTATGAATCAAACTAAACTGAAATTAAACAATTCTCTATACCACTCAAATAGCTAATTCTAGAGAAAAATAAAAATAAAAAAATACATACGATCAATGATCTCAAATTCAATCTAGGCATGTATGACCCAAATTCAATTCAGGAATTGCCTCTGATTTGATGTTGTTTAAGTTGATTTTGATGTGACCGTTTGGCCTTCAGCGGGTATCGAATTCGACTACGAGGACTAGGGCGAGACAGTGGTGTTGTAGAAAACATTGAGTACTAGATCACTAGAAGGTGAGGTGGAGCTGGAGACGACAAAGGCTAAATTTGGTACTGAAATTGATCTCCAAGAAGGTGAAGAAGACGAAGAATGTGGTTATTTTCAGTTTAGTTTTATAGTCCTAATTGCTTATCAGCAGCTGTGGCGGCAGAGGAGAGAGAACAAAAGAGAATATTTATGGTTATTACCGGGTATTAGCTGACTTGCCATATTAGTATTTTTTTATTTGTGTTGGTTTTAAGTCATTAATAGATGTAGTCAAATTATCATTTTTCAAAATAAAATGGACAAAATTGTCAAATAAAAAAGAATTACTTGACATTCTTTAAAACGCAATTTTATAAATTAATTAAAGATTAATTCAAACACTATATTGAACTAAATTTGATAACCATTTAAGACACTTCTAATATTACCAAAAAAAAAAAAAAAAAAATGAATAAATATTGATATTTGATATGTAATACTCCATCCATCCTAAAGTAAGTGTTATGTTTTTTTTTTTTTTGTCCGTTTCAAAATAATAGTTAACTTTTTGTAAAAAAATAATATATTTTACATCTTTTTATATATATTTTTTGAATTTAAAATTTTAAAAAATCAATTGATAATTTATTAAACAGACAATGTATGAAATTACTAGTCCCCGTGAATGACATTTAAATTGAGATGGGAGGAGTATTTGATAAAAGCTTCTTTAAGCCATTCTGATGATGTTCCAAAAAAAGCCCTAATTCTTCACATGGGAAGACGTGTTGAACTGTTGATTGCCTAAAAAAGGACAAAGACAAAAAATGGATGTATCAATTCTTGTAAACTTTTGGATGGTTTGGTCAAAAGTCAAAAAGAAAATGAGATCAAAGGAAGTTGATTTAATATGATTATAATTAAATAAAAATAAATAAATTTGATTCCTACGAGGAATATTAAAAAATATATATCTCGCACTCTTGCCCATCCCATTTAGCCACTATAGTATATTGCATGAAGAAGACATAATTAAGAAATAATTAACTGTATATATTCAGTGGAGATATTGCTTTGTCATGGAGTAATTAAGTGCATTTATTTAAAATAATTTGGAAACATCCCTAAAATAAGAAAAAACCTGCCAAAAATATATTCTAAAATTAAACAAACTTTTGACTTCTTTGTCTTTATTGTAGAGCAAAAGGATTAATAATGTGTTGGGTAAAAAAGTAAGAAAAAATGTGAAGAGAAAATAAGAATGAGTGAACAACTTTTCTTAGTTCGGTAAAAATGAGATAAGGAAAGAATATAAAATAGGGAGATTATCATTCTTTTTTCTTTACAAATTTTTGTCCGTTAAAAAATGAGTGGAAGTAAGGAGAAAAGACTATCATAAATCATAAATTATACAAGTTTTAAATTATAATATTACCCTCTATAAATTATATAATTATAAATATTATTGAATATAATTGTAAAAATAATTAAAATTTTTTATTTCTTTATCTTTCAACTAAAATAGTAAATTATGAGTTTATTCTCCGAACATAGTAAATTATGAATTTATCATCCAATTTTTTTCTTTCTTACCCTCGGAGCATTAGTCTCATCCCCAAATCCATGAAAAATTGTGGACATTCCTTATTAAATTTAATAACATATATTCATTTTATTTACTTAACTTTTAAACACATTTATATTTTATGCCACTTTTCTTCAGCCTTAATTTTACTAATTTTCAATCATCTATAGAAAATAGAAAATAAATTTCAAAGAAATAAATTAATTTTCTTATTATTAGTATTTAATTAAATAAGAACAAAAAATCAAACCAAAAACAGTCTAAAAAATAAACAAATCTAACTCATTAAATATTTAATAACTAATACGTCCGAAATTCGAACCATTAAATAAAATATAAGAATGTGGATTTTTTATTTTATTTTTCATTATTCATCTATCTCATTTCCTTTTCAAATTCCGAACTCTAAATAATTTTTCTAGTACAATAAATAAAAAATAATAATTGACTACCCTCTACAAAGAAAAAAAAAATCTTAAAAAAATAAAATAAAATAAACAATTAAGGAAAGAAAATTGACTCAACATCCAGACTTTTACGCCAATTAATACAGCGATGGTCATGATTGCACGCTACTTTCAGTCGCGAGGACTAGAAAGTGAAAACAGTGAAAATTGATTGACAGCAAAAGATTAGATTAGCACACAGCGCATACAACAACACACACAAAGCATCACCTTCTCCCTCCAACACACCACTTCCATGAATAAACAAAACCCAGAACACCCAAAAACAGATCAAACCCATTAGCGAAGGAAATATATATATATATATATATATACACACACACACACATAAAGCAGCAAAAGTCATTGCATCCCACTTTCCGAATAGAAAAAGGCCACAATATTCTTTCCTTTTCCTCATCTGTTACTCCACCTTTCCTCCTTATCTCCCGCGCTTGATTCTTCTTTTTCTCTCTCTACTTTCTCTCTCTACTCCGCTCTCCCATGGCAACTCTTGGGGATATTGGGGTCTCTGCATTAATCAACATACTCGGTGCCTTTGCCTTCTTGCTAGCCTTCGCTCTTCTCAGGATTCAACCCATCAATGACAGGGTCTACTTTACCAAATGGTACATCAGTGGTGGGAGGACTAGTCCCAGGCACACTGGGAACTTTGTGGGCAAGTTTGTGAATCTCAATATCAAGACTTACTTTACCTTCCTCAATTGGATGCCTCAAGCTCTGAAGATGAGTGAGTCTGAGATTATCAACCATGCTGGCCTTGATTCTGCTGTTTTCCTGAGAATCTACATTATGGGGTACTCAATTTTTACTTTCTTATTTCTCTTCATATGTTTTATTGTTTTGGGTAGTGCTTGTTTTCTGTATTTTTTTTGTGAATTTAAACTGAATTTTACTTTCTGGGGAAGTCAATTTCCTCTTCTTTTAGTTTATCAGTGTTTTATGGTTGTGGGATGCTGTTTGTTTTCGGTGAAGATTCTGAATTGTTGACAAGTGATTATTGAAGATTATTTTTACATCATACTGTATCTTAACAGTTACTCTCTGAGGTAGTCAAGTTTTCCTCTTCTTTCTCAGAGTTTAAGATTGTGGCTGTTGTTTGCTTGTTTAGAAAATTTTGGGAAATGGGTTTTGTTGAATTCAATTATGATGTTTTCTGAAGTATTTACTTTGTATCTGGTTAGTTTTCCTTTTCTTTCTTAGTTTCTCGCAGTTTCATGGTTGGAACCATATGCTGCAGTTTGCATTTTGGAGTTCCGATTGACAAATTGAAATTGTCATTTTGGAATTTCAGTTCTATCAATGGGCACTTATTGCTTTATTGTGTTATTATTATTAAGAATTTGCATTCTGCATTTGCAGTTTTCTTTTCCATGCTTACTAATTTGTAGTCCTACGGTTGTGGATGTTTGTTTGTTGAGCAAACTGGAGATTTAGGACTAAGGTGTTTTAATTTAGGACGCAAAAAAAAAAAAAAAAAAAAAAAAAACTGGAGATTTAGGACTAATGTGTTTTAATTCGTATTTCTTCTATGAATTTAATTTATACATGCGTGGTTACTTTTGTAAGTTGTACGAGCGGAAATTACTTAGAAAGTTTTAGTTTGTTCTAGAAAACAAATCAGTGTCCTTAACAACTTTGCTTATTTTATGTTTTAACAATTAAACAGTTAATCACATGCAAATAAAATAATGCAAAGTATAAAGTTAGAGATGACACCAGGATTTTAGCGAGAAAACCCTAGTTGATAAAATACGTCAACTGTTATGGGAAAAACCTCGTGGACTGTGCAGTCCAAAGTAAATCAATCCACTATGCTTGAAATAAAGTATACTGAACTTTGACTTTGGCTCACACCCTATCGTTCTACACCACACCAACCGCTGACGATCCTCTTGCTTTGCGACTCCTCGTCCAGCAGCAACTTGATCTCAGACTGACACTTGATATTTGTAGAAGAGTAGCAGGTAGATCAGACAACACTCCACGAATGCTCCAACCCTTTCAAAAGTGTGATTGCGTTTACCTCTGTTCTTCAATTGTCTGAATGATATAGAAGAAGATCTGTTTCGTCTGATCGATGTTAATACAACTGTATGATCACGATTAGGATTCGAACTTCACAACTCTAACCTAACTAGGTGAATATGTGTATGTTCTAGGAAGACTATAGAAAAATCAATTTTGATTTTCTGAGAGGGATTAACTTCCTAAGGCTTTAAAAATATTGAATCTGTATAACAAAAGCCGTTAAATAAACCTTGTGTATGACATGGTTTATATAGAGGTTTGCAAAGTCCTATTCTTCTTAAAAATAAGGGAAATTTCGTCCATAGGACTTTATAAGGAAAGTGGAATCAAAAAGGGATTCAGTAGAACAGGAAACTGAAAGTTCGAATGCTGTCAACATCAACCCCACAACCACCACCCACCATCGCCCCCCACCAACCACCATTGCCACCTCCACCACCGGCCACCCCCTTCTCTTTCTAATCACAACCGCAACATCAACCCCACAACCACCACCATCACAAACATCAACCCCACAACCACCACCATCGCAACATCAACCCTATAACCACCACCCACCATTGCCAACCAATAGATCAAGCAAAATCCTTGACTTCCAAGCCACCGACTTATAGTTGTCGTGCGCGACCATTTCTCCTCTTGACTGTCCACTACTCGGTCACCACCGGTGAGCGTTAGATCCCTGTGAACGCGTGGTTGATCTCAAGCCTCACCGACCGTTGGGTAACCTACTCCTCTCTCTCCTCTATCGGCCGCCACTCATGCGAGTCCAAATCCGGTGGGACTTGAAGTTGAGACTTGTGGCGGAGGAAGGTAAGGCTAAACTTGATACTAATGATGGATAATGGCATGAAGTGGTAAATAATGGGTAAATTTGGTCCATTAAAATTAGTTAGAAAAGCGCATCAAGGTCACTGCATGATCAAAAGTAATTGTTGATTAGTCAAAAGGCATTTAGGTCTTTTTATAGGCCAGAAAGAGGTGTGGATGCAGGATTTTAAAACCCCATGGGGTGTCATTGTCAAAAAAAATGTTGACTTGCATCTGATTGGAATTGACCAAAACCTTAGGGGTGTCAATGCAATTAACCCTTTTATTTAATAATAAGAATTTTTCTTTTTATTTAGGGTTAATTGCACTGACATACCCTGAGATATTGGTCAATGCCACTTAGCGGCAGGTCAACGTTTTTTTGGGCAGTAACATTCCTTGAGGTTTTAAAATCTTGCATCCACACCCACTCCCCACTTAGAAAAAGACCAAAATGCCCTTTGACTAGTCAACAATTACTTTTTAATCATGAAATGACCTGAATGCCCTAGACAATTGCGTTTAATCCACCCTTTCCATCTTCACGGCTTCTGATAAAAAAAAAAAAAAAAAATCTTCATTGCTTCATCCCATCATCTATCATCAGTATCAAGCAAGTCTTGGTGGTGGGATTCGATTGTGCATATATGTGTGTGTGTATTTATGTCAACAACAACCTTGCCTTACCTTCCACCGCTCAAATTCTATGCCAAATTTATTATCAGAAGATGATAGAGAGAGTGAAACATGCGCGCGTGTGTATATATATAAGTATTTATGAGATTTTGGATTGGGGATTTAAAAGGTTTTATATATATATATAGATATATATATCTAATATCTCTCAATCCCATATATATATATATGAATTGGGTTAATTTGGGGTTCCTTGTGATTTGATTGTGTTCGTTATGGGCGGAGATGATGGTGGTAGATGGTTGTTGGGGGGGGGGGGGGGGGGGGGGTTGTCGATTGTGCTAGTCATAGTTGCAGATGATGGTGGTATAAGTTGTGGTGTGGTGGGGTGGCAGTGATAGATAGATAGATATATGTATGAGGTTTCAGATTGGGGGTTTATGAAATCTGGTTTGATTTGGGGTTTCTTGTGGTGTGTGGTGGCAGCGGATTCGATCTTGTCCTCTGCGAGGTGGTGGAGCAGTAGATGCTTACGGCAGCGATGCTGGTGGTAGTACTGCCACAGCTTGTATATGGTTCTCAATTGCTAGGGCTTTTTATGCGGTAGTTGAGGTGGCGATATTGGTGGGTGGTGGTTGTGTGGTGGATGTTGCGGTGGTGAGGAGAGAGAAAGAAATACAAAGGCGAATGGTGGTGGAGTTAATGATGGTGGGTGGTGGTGGCGATGGCAGTTAGTGGTGTGAATGGGTCGTCGATGGTGGGTGGTGGTTGTGGGGTTGATGTTGTGGTGGTGAGTGGAGAGACAAAGAGGCGTCCGGTGGTTGAGGTGGCGATGGTGGTTGGTGGTGGCGACACCTCTCTCTACAGAGCGGAGCTTTCTTTTCTCCCCCATCATCTTCTATGGTATTAAGGGGAAAAAAATTTCTTTTACAGAGGGGTTATTTTCATTAATTTACATTGCTGTTAGCCTATTATTCTGTGAATAAAATTTAATTAATAATTCAAGGGCATTTATGTCATTTGAAACCTCAGGGGGTGTCATTATCCAAAATTACGTTGACAAGCCACTGAGTGGAATTGACCAAAATCTCAGGAGGTGTCAGTGCAATTATTATTATTTTTTTTTTTGGTGGTTTTTGGCCTTAAATTTATGTCTTAATAAATATGGATGTTGTATCATTATTTAAAGTTAGAAAATTTGTATTTTCTAATTCTTCTGTTTGGATTTCTCCATCGCTTTTCTCTCTTATGCTTTTTCCTTATCAGTTTCATACATATCTGGTTAAAACTTTTTACTTTTCACCTCTTAAGTTTCTTGTTTATGTGGTGTTCATTGTTTGTGCAAATTATTTTGCACTTCTACCATCAAATAAGAATTTTTTTTTGGAATTGGACTGAAACTTGGAGTTCCTATTCTCCCTATATTTTTTCTATTCGATTCTTCTTTGTTATCTTCTCTTCTTCTTAGCTTTTCATTTCTGGTGTCTAAGCTTATGGTGCATTTAGTTTCCCGATTCCAGCCATCATCAAAATAATTTCTTCTAGTTATCATTCTCCTTATTGGAAATGAAGCAAAACATAATGTTAGCATTTCTTGTGGTCTCAAGAACTTTAGTACTTTGGTCTGGATAGCTATAAAATTTCCATTCAAGTATATACCATGTCTTCCCCTCCCCGTTTTCATGGGTGTTGATTGATCTCTTCATATTTTCTTTCGTTAAATCTTTTGAATCTGCGACATTATTTTTTTCTATTTATTTTTAGTTCACTTTTTAAACCATGATTTATTAATAGCTTGTTTTCTCATAGTAATAGCCGGAATTAATTTTTTTATTTCAAATGGCTGGAATTTAGGATGGAAACTGTAACGACCCACTCCATCACATGGTATGATATTGTCCGCTTTGGGCCTGAGCCCGCACGGTTTTGCTCTTGGGCTTTACCTCAAAAGGCCTCATACCAATTGGAGTGACACACCTACATATAAGCACTTTACCTTTCCCTTTCCCAGGCGATGTGGGATTGTGCACCTGTAGCTCGCCAGTGTGGTAGCCTGTCAGTCTCTCGCACCCGCCCATGGCACACCCGCCTACTGGGTCATCACAATTCACCCCCCTTGGAGGCCCAATGTCCCTGTCGGCACACTTCTGGCTGGGTCAGTCTCTGATACTATTTGTAACGACCCACTCCACCACATGGTATGATATTGTCCACTTTGGGCCTGAGCCGGTACGGTTTTGCTCTTGGGCTTTACCCCAAAAGGCCTCATACCAATTGGAGTGACACACCTACATATAAGCACTTCACCTTTCCCTTTTGCTCTGATACCATTTGTAACGACTCATTCCACCACATGGTATGATATTGTCCGCTTTGGGCCTGAGCCCGCACGGTTTTGCTCTTGGGCTTTACCCCAAAAGGTCTCATACCAATTGGAGTGACACATCTACATATAAGCACTTCACCTTTCCCTTTCCTAGGTGATGTGAGATTATGCACCCGTAGCTCGCCAGTGTGGTAGCCTGTCAGTATCTCGCACCCGCCCACGGCACACCCGCCCACAAGGTCATCACAATTCACCTTCCTTGGAGGCCCGATGTCCCCGTTGGCACACTTCCGGTTGGGTCAGGCTCTGATACCATTTGTAACGACCCACTCCACCACATGGTATGATATTATCCGCTTTTGGCCTGAGCCCGCATGGTTTTGCTCTTGGGCTTTACCCCCAATAGGCCTCATACTAATTGGAGTGACATACCTACATATTAGCACTTCACTTTTCCTTTTCCCAGGCGATGTGGGATTGTGCACCCGTAACTCACCAGTGTGGTAGCCTGTCAGTGTCTCGCACCTGCCCACAGCACACCCACCCGTAGGTTCATCACAGAAACTATATCTGAATTTGATAATGTACCTTTATTTCAGTTTTACTTGGTTGAAGTGGTTTTTTAACCTCAGTTTGTATAATGCGCTTTAAATTAGACATTTGATGTTTATTTCCAAGGGAATCTTGAAATTTGTACCTTCATTAGGCCACCTCTCTTGCAACAAATAAAAATTTCCTCCTGAAGCTTCTCAAGCCTGTGAAAATTCCTGAAGTTTCTCAAGCCTCATGTTCGCTGTACTGGGATTGTTAAACTAAACTTGCAATGCTTGAAATGGTGCTCAATTAGAGTTGATTGCCTTCTGATAAATAATGCTTCTTCTGCCCCAAGACTTTTCTTGAATCTCTCAGTAAACTATGTTAGAAACCACATCTTTGGAATCTTCCTGCCAGATTAGCACATCGCCCATCTCGTCACTGTAATTAACTCTCTTCTCCAAATTTGCTTCAAACCCGAAACTACGTAAATACATGGTAGAAAACGTTCAGAGATATCCTCAAATGTTTCACCTCACTCTACAAATGACAATAGTATATCCGCATAAAAAACCAATTTTTTTCATTGGTGTGGGAGACTAATGGTTAATTGTAAAGGAGTTCTTTAATTTTTGGTATAAGAACTGATTTTATTCATGCCAAAGACAAGAGAAAGGTCTTAAAGAAAATGGTCGAGGCTGTGAGAAGAAACAATTCTTGAGAATTTAACGGGAGATTTGGGGCAGACCCCGAAAAGTTCAATTGTGGGGTGGGGGGGCAAAGTAATAATATGATAATAAAGTTAAAATGTATGTACAAGTTGTTATAATGTTTCATTTATTCCCCCTCCCCCCCACGCGTATGGTGTTTGTTCATGTGTGTTTATGAAACTTCTATATCTATAAATTTGTTATTGTAGCTCTAACTATCTTTCCTTCTCTATGACAGCTTAAAAATATTTGGACCAATCGCTATTGTGGCACTCTTGGTTCTGATTCCAGTTAATGCATCAGGTGGAACGTTATTTTTTCTAAAAAAAGACTTGGTTGTCAGCAATATTGATAAGCTTTCAATATCAAATGTTGGTCCAAAATCTATTAGGTAAGTTTATTTTCTTTCATGATGGGGATAAATTTACTTTAAAGTTTAAACATCATATTGATACTGTATGTGCCTCAAAGTTAAAAAGAGTGCTGACAGCATGCTCCTATATATGCGACCGATTTTAGTGTTGTTTTCCTATGATTTAATTCTTTAACTACTATTAATTTGTAGGTAAATTCACTTTCCTTTTGATTCTCCAAGAACCTCTTTTGATTTTATTTTAATACTTTTGGCCATCCTATATTAAATTATATTACTTTCATCCTCTTAATTCTATGTTACTTTCTTTAGTCTAAGAAGTATCCGGGAGGAAGCATCTTTGTGTTAGATACCGACTCTTTTTGGAAGGGTTGCACACGGTTTGGATCTGGGATGAACCAGAACTAAACCGGTCCAACGGTTCTAGAAAATATTAGAACCGAACTGAACCGTTAGAATTAGTAGAACCAAATTGATCCGAACCATAAATGGTCGGTTTGGTTCGGATCGGTTCTGCGATTTTTCACTTTCATATTAATCAAATAAAAACCACAATATGAATATATGTATATATATGGTTATCCTATGAATTGTTGTGTATGGTAAGTTACATTCTCTACCAATACAAATCAAACATGTGTACTATATAATATATATATATATTGACCCCAAATTGGAACTGAACTGTTATCAGTGGTTCTGTAAGTTTTAGTACTGGAACCAAATCATTCTATCATAGGAACAATACAACCGTATGGTTCGGTTCGGCGCAGTCCGCTTTACTGGTTCTGACTTTTTTTGTGCACCCCTACTTTTTGAACACTTCTGGACAAGTATCTGACACTGGCACTGTTTTTGGCCCCTTTTGGACACATATCTGATAACTTATTGGATGTGTTTTTAATTTAAAATTAATTTTTTAATCTGAGACACATAGCTGACGATTTTCTGCAATAGCCAAATATTGTTAATGAACCTTAGACATGGATAAGAGTTTCTTCTAACATTGAAAAAACATAATTTGTAAAAAATAACTAAAACGTTATACAAAATTTACAAATTTGACAATATCAATAAACAAGTTATGTAGAATTTTATTAAAGGAGCAAATATGAGAGTAGGCGAGGAGTGGTGAGTCATCAGATTGTGTGTATATATATATGTACACATGCACACACACACACATCTTATGGACACACATATACAGTCACATGCATTTATGTTGTGTCCTTGTTGTGACTTTGTGTGGCAGAGATAACATTTTGTTGTCACTAAGTAATGTTTGTCATTTATAATGTATTATATATATATATATAAATTTATTAACATGTCCCTGCTGTTCTCATGCCCTACTTTGTTAAGACATGTCATGTTGGCTTGTCTGTATCTTGTATCTATGTCTAAATTTCTTAGCCTTTTAACGTGTATTATTAAATAGTTCTACTTTCTTTTCTTTAAATTTTCATCGTCTAGTTTTGAGGTTCCAAATCTCCACTTTCTTTCTTGATTGTCCTTTAGTGTGTATGTGTATTATTATCGCCTTATGTTTTTGTTTTTGGTAAGTAAAATTTTATCATAAAAATAAAGAAAGAATGTACAAAAAGTTTTAGGTCACGTTATTGGTTAAATAAGCTCCAAAGCCAGAAAAGTTAAGGAAACAACCTTTTACATCCCAGTCTATGAAACAACAAAAACACCTTGGCTTCTTGATTGTATCTTAAGATACAATGAGTTAGATAAGGCCTTTCGTTTTGAGAAGCTTGAGGAACTTCTTGGACTATCAACCTATATTGCAATCCAAGTCTAAAGGTCAGAATGTTCATCTCGTTTTAAAATAGGTATTGATATTCACTATGTACAACGGTGAAGTCTAGACTAACCTTCCATTGTCATTTCTATCTCCAAATTGAGTTCACCATGCATCATCCCATGCCCTCTACAAGTTTTATTATACTTTCTTTAAAGTCTACAATAAACAATATCTCTTCTAAGAGTGTTTATTATATTAATCCATCCATACATTCCCAAAATTGTGCTTTAATATGTTAGTTTAGTCATACTTCTCAATACAAATTTTACTAAAATTATCTGTCCCCCTCTTTTTCTTTTTGGTAGCCGAGCAGACACACCCTGCTATTGGCCCAATGTGGACTTGAACCCTTAGCCTCTCATGTAATAGGAGGGAAACCACTTGAGATAAAGCATTGGTGGTCTATCCCCTTATCTAATAGTAGTGATGTCATCTTCTTTTTTCTTTTCTTTTTAATTTTTAATTTTTTTTTAATTTTTTTAATTTTATTTATTTATTTATAGTTCGCATCAATGATTATCTATCACTTCAGGTGTAATAAAGTATGTATAACTTATTTTCAATTTCCTTAACTCTCTCCTGTCCAATTAGTTTCCTGTAGGCATGCTATATTAACATTCAATTTAGTTATAGTATCTACCAACTCCATCTCTTTACCTATTAATGCTCCTATATTTCAAGCCCCTAATTTAGGCCTACTGTTTTGGACTAACTTCTTTACCCATTTTGGCCCCAAAAAATCAGGAAACTTGCACACTTACCATTGCATCCAGGCACTAAAGGTAGTGTTATTTGCCCAATTTTCAGAACTAACGAATATTGATAGAACATGTAATTCAAGGGAGCACCCAAGCATTTATTTGGACATTCTTGGATTCATCTTCATAGGGGTCTTAAGGGTTTATGCTGGATTTCAGCTTTCTAATGCAATTCTTTTCCTTTTACACGTCTTAAACCGGCTTTATAAATATATCAGTAGACATAACCTATTTATAAACTTGTGATTACATTTGTCATGCTTGTTTCTGTATTTCTTTCTTGTGTATCTTATTGTAAACATTGCAATCCTGCCTTCAGAAAACAACTGTTATGTTTGAATTCAGGTTTTTTGTCCACATATCATTGGAATATTTGTTCACGTTTTGGACATGCTTCATGCTCTACAAGGAATATGATAGAGTAGCATCAATGAGGTTAAAATTCTTGGCTTCACAACACAGGCATGCAGAACAATTCACTGTGAGTTGAACTTCAAGTGCTTTTACAATAATCCTGAAGGAAATTTCTAGAATGTTTATTATTGAGAAAATAGAAATCTAAATTGTTTTTCATTCTGCCCCATAAAGATGCATGTTGAGGCTTATGATGTTTCATGCTGTCAAAGTTTGCAATGGCTAATTGTTGTCTATTTTATTGGTAGTGTTATGATTTTTCTCTTCTTTTTATTTTTGTTCTAGAGAAGATAATGTGTTACAAATGAAAGAAGTATACAGAGTACACAAAAGGATCCGAATTACGAAAAATGTATTGGAAGGATCAGGGGATAAAAGGGAACACATGGGGAATCGGTTTCTCAGAGAACATAATTAGAAAATCTATTCACTGTGTGTACTGCATCATCCCCCACAGAACTCACAATAGTAAAAAGGCCCTCCTCATCACTCTATATGTTGCAGTCTTCATAATGTTGAAATTGCTCTTGTTTCTCTTTCTCAAATGACCTAGCGCAGAGCTAGAGGGCTAAAGTTCCATAACCACCACTTCATCCAACACTTGGAACTCTTTAGCATAAACATTCTTTATCTATAAGAAGGAAACATGCAAATTAAGATGCTCCTGAGAGATTACATGAATTGACGAAGGATTAGGAGATGCTCGGTAGATTTGATGCTAATAAAATATGTAACATGCTGATTTAATTTTACTCCTAGAAAAGAAATTGTGGATGGTTCAAGTCCTGAAGGCAGCTTGCAATTGATTCAGTTTCTATAATAATTATAGCAAGAACGATATAGGTTCTGAAAGGATCTAAATGGCCCCTGTGATCATTTAAATTCTCTTTGGTGCACATTAAGTTTTATGAAAGCTAAAATAGAGATGCTGGGCAAGCCTTTTAAGTCTTAGTTTATGCCTCGTGAAATCAACTTATGAAAAAGACTGAAATCTTTTGATTGATCTGTGAATCAATGATTGTAATGTTTACATGCCATGTTACTGAAGTTTTTGCTTAAACTGAGATGAAAGAGATTTGAAAGCCAAATAATTTTGAGACAGCAGCAATCTTCATTTAAAATGGAGCTGTTTTCCTCCTGAACAACCATTGCTGTGCATATTAACAATTTATTGATCTGCCTTTATACGAGCATGATGCTACTGCACGTATTCTAGAGATGGAGACAGAACCCGAGCGTAGTAAATTGTTCTGTTGGTAAAAATAGTTAGATTATTAACTTCATGAAGGAGATGTTTCATGAGATTTATTTGGTTTGCTTTGGATAATGAAAAATCTGATGAAATGCCTTGCCTAAGTCTGAGCTAGTCACCAAGCTTTCCATACGTCACCAAACAAATCTAGTATTTTTACTCCTGTATTTTATCATGGAAAAGTCGCAAGTTTTTTTTTTTTTTTTTTTAAAAAAAATGTAATACTACTTGACTTGTATGTGACTAGCATTCTTAATTAGATTTTTTTTTTTTTTTTTTTTGATAAGTAAATTAAAAATGTATAAATAGCGTTCTAGAGGGGAACGCGTCCCTGGAATACACAAAGGCCGAAGCCAAAACCAAAAGCATTCTTAATTAGATTTTATGGCCAATCCATTAAGTCTTTTCGTCTATATGGTGGACTAGTTCACAAATTTACATGAGTAACTGTGCGTTGTAAATGTTAAAATTACTTAATTACTTGATCAAAGGAGCGGAGTGGGGAATTTTTCAATTTTTTTTTTATAGCCCCCCTACAAACAGTTATTTTTTAATTACTACCCAAAACTCATAAAAAAACTTAGTTTGCCCCCCCAAATATTTTTCAAAACACTGGTTTATTGGCCTTAAAAATAGCGAGTTTTGAAATAATATAATATGTATCTTCTCGAAAAATTTTAGTCTTACTTTTAAAGTCCAAATGATTTGAAACAAAAATATAAGTTCTTTATTATAGTAGTACTTACTTTACTAGATTACTCCATTTACATTTACATGTACACATGTACAATATCCATTATATGAATTCAAGAGAGAAAAAGGAAAAGTTACACCAATGTCTCCACATCTTTTAAAAAAATACAGAAGCTTTCCTTGTTATACATGTTTGTTAGAGTGTGTTTAGAAGAAAAATATCAAGAATCATATGTTAATCTCCTTCAGAGACTCTTGAGAGCATTGGGAAGAAGGAAAAACTGAAGTGTTATAAGACTAAGATGACTAAAATGCCAACAACAACAATGGTACTATATATGCTAATATTTTTAGTTGTAAAATTACATTTTATATAGCTACTCAAAGTTCCTTATTGTGTTCCTGATAATAAATACTTGCAATTTTTTGTTTAGTTAAAATGGTACATTTTTTTAATTAATCTTTCATCAAGGTTGGAATAAAAGTACTCAATTTGTTTTTTTTTAAAATTGTTGTTAAAGGAAAATTATTTATTTTTTTCCATCTCTATTTATTTAGGTTTTATTTTTCCCATTTTTTGATATATATTGAAATTATATTACAATTGATTGATTTATAAAGAAAAGAAGCCCCAAATCAAAACTTCTGTCTCTGCCCTTGGTTGATGAACTTCCTATCTAGCTTAGGCTTTCCCGAAGGCATTGTCTTTACAATTCCTGAAAATAAACCTCCTATGCTATGTGCAAATAAAACCTTCATCTATTGAAAATAATTGCAACTAGCACCCACGTGTGCAAAAATACCACTTGTGGTACCATAATTGTGCATATAGCTCCCTCTGTATTTGATAAGGTAAAGTGAGAAAAATCTGTGGAAGTAATATATTGTGGATATACACACCCATAATATGATTATTTTTTATATATGACCCCATTGTAATATGGATATTGTGCATATAACCCTGATATGGTGAAAGGGTATATTCTAATTGCAATCGCATATCTTTTGCACAATTTCAATGGTGCTGGTTTTTTTTGGCACAATTAGGGGGTTATATATTCAATATCCATACTACAAGGGGGTTTTGTTGCACATCACCTTTGAATTATTATATCATTTATTCAGTTAAGAGTTAAACCAGCAAAGTTTCCCCCTTAGCCTGGAATATGTAACAAATGATTTATTATTATTACTTGTTTGACTTTGACAGGGTTTTCAAATTCTTGTGCGCTATAATCTATTACGTACATAATTTTCAGGTATTAGTTAGGAACGTACCGCGTGCTTCTGATCGCTCAATTTCAGATAGTGTGGACAACTTCTTTACAACAAATCACCCAGATCACTATCTTTGTCACCAGGTAATAAGGTGCTTCGGTTGAATCTTCTTTTGTACTTGCCCCTTATTATTAGTTATAATATTTATTCTTTAATCTCAAACCCGTTGGTCCAACTAGGATATTTTCATTGTAACTTTTTTAGAAAAATGTGACATAATATTCGTGATTGTACTTACCTTGCAGGGCTTTGCTTTAATTTATCATGTAGTCATGTTAATTTCTTTAATCTTTTTTCAGGCTGTTTACAACGCAAACAAATTTGCCAAGCTTGTGAAAAAAAGAGAGAGGCTCCAAAATTGGCTGGACTATAACCAACTTAAGTCTGAAAGAAATCCAGACAAAAGGCCAACCAAAAAGGTAGCTTGTTTTATGCACCCAAATCATACAGGCAAGACATGTTGAGGACACACACATGGACATGGTTTTGTAATCCATTTAAGATGCTGAGCAGCACATCATTCATAGTTGTCTGGAATTTTCTATAATAAAATGTTTAACATTTTTATTGTTCAGAAAGGATTCCTTGGGCTTTGGGGTGAAAAAGTTGATGCAATTGAGTTCTATAAACAACAGATCAAGGATCTTGATAAAAGAGTAAGTAGTAGGAGCTACTTCATTTAAAATCTATTTGTCAGTCTGAAATTTTGTCCATTATTTTTTCATTAGTAATTATTTACATACTTGCTTCTTGTTAGTAGTAGTCTTTAAACCATGTTTGTTATTTATTTAATTTTTTTGGCACAAATATAATATTGTTTTTTCCCCCTGTCAAGTTGTTGTAATAAATTTAGTCTTGATACATGTATTGCTTGCTAGTTAGCAACGGAGCGCCAGAGAATTCTTAAGGACCCAAAATCTATTATGCCAGCTGCTTTTGTATCATTTAATTCACGTTGGGGGGCTGCTGTCTGTGCACAGACACAGCAAAGCAAGAATCCCACACTGTGGTTAACAAATTGGGCCCCTGAACCCCGTGATGTATACTGGAAGAATCTTGCTATACCCTTTGTATCTCTAAGCATCCGAAAACTTGTGATATCATTATCGGTGTTTGCTTTGGTGTTCTTTTACATGATACCCATTGCTTTTGTGCAATCACTTGCAAATCTGGAAGGGCTCCAAAGAGTTGCTCCTTTCCTCAGGCCGGTGATTGAATTGTAAGTGAACTTCGATTTGGTTTCGTATTATAATTTATTTTATTTACTTTCTTGGTGTGAATGAATTATAAATTGGATTCGATATTTGTATATCTTGGTCTAATTACGTATCATTTTCATTTAGTAGTCCTCATCTTTCGGATACTATTATATATATATATATATATTTATATTCAATGACTCCTACTTGCTCTAATTTGTGGTGCACAACAACACATGGGTGTGTTATGTCTTCTTTTTTCTTTGATCTCACAAACATAAGTTCTATGTCTTCTTTCGTGTGGTCATTTTTTCTATGACACCGGATATTTATTCTTTCTCTGGAGTTTTGCATATATCAGAAATCAAAGATACAAGTCAAAATTGTTGAAGTGACTACAATATACATGCACTTTGTACGTTTCATGGTTATGAATGCATGGGTTTTTTTTTTTTTTTTCCGTAGATTATGAGCTAATTGATAACTTGAAAGTTACCATGTGATCTGTCCGATTCATCCAATTTGGAGCAGCATCGTTGGACCTGCATGGATGGAACACCACCCCCAAACCCCCACACAAAAGAAAATGCTTAAGTTACACTTTGTGTTTCACCCAGCAGTATAGAGTTCCTAATAGAATGCTCTTTATAATTGTCAGAAAATCCTTGACTTGTATTTCTTTTCATACAACTTTTATGGCTTATTCTTAAATGATTTAAATTGTCAAGGATTCCAGCATGGATTAGAGTTTCTTCTGCTTTCGTTGTATCACCAGTCAGTTTGATTGTTTCATTGATGTTTCTGTTAATGATAACTTTGTTATCTTACAATCTTATCTTTGTGTTAAAATAAATGCTTCTACTTTTCAATGAGTATTAGTATGATTTTAAGAATACAAGTTAATCTCTAACATATTGGTAGACGATCCACTTATATCCTTCAAGAAGATGAAACTAACTGATCAATTTGTTCTAAACTAACTAATCCCTTTATCATGTCCTTTATACATGTCTTGATTTATGATGGTTTCTTTGTCAACTCTGATGTATTTTCATTTTACATATATCTTTCTAAACTTTGTCATTTTTATAATGATATATTCTGTGGCAATGTCATGCAGGAAATTCATCAAGTCATTCCTACAGGGTTTCCTTCCTGGTCTAGCTCTCAAAATATTCTTGTACATTCTTCCTGCAGTTTTGATGATTATGTCAAAAATTGAGGGGCACGTAGCATTATCTGTACTAGAACGGAGGTCAGCTGCAAAGTACTATTACTTTATGTTGGTGAATGTGTTCTTGGGGAGCATAGTGACTGGAACAGCTTTCCAGCAACTTCATTCTTTCCTTCATCAATCGCCTACTGAGTAATTTTCTATATCCTGTGAACAAAGTTCTTAAAATTTCTATGTTAAAAAAATAATACCCCCGAGCTTTTATGGTTCTATGTATTTTTGGTAGTTTCTTATGGTTTTATGTTACTTGCTTCTGTTAGTTTTTCACTTCTATAGTGGCACAAACTTAACGAGTATTGACATTGAGCACTATAGTAACACACTTAATTCACATTTATCTTATTGCCAACTGATTTCTTGTACTTCTAGAAATGTTACTATGTTTTCTCATTCAGGAATAATGTTTTTGGCTGATTTGACATTTCACGCATTCAGTTGACTCTACTGATGGGCATGCTGTTTATATTTTATTTAGAATTTCTATATTTATATTCTTTATGGTATGAGAAATATTATATTTTGAGTCTTTATAGAAGAAAATCTTTGTACTATTCAGAGAGGTGATATTTGTTCCATCTCTACCGGACATGATTAAAGTGCATGCTTTTGTTTTGTTTACGCTATGTTCTTTTCTTTTTTTCCCTTAACTTATTTCATAAGTTACATCTGTTGGTTTGCTATGTTTTCTGATTCATTTTATAATATGGTTTTATACCTTGAATATCGGTCTTGGTACAACTTTTAATTAGGCACAGTCCTGGGTGCACAGTATAGTGCCTAAAAGTTTTAACAAATTATGCTATAAATCATAAGTTTTATAAACTACACATGCAGAAAGCAAAGCTTACCATATCCATATGTTCCAAAATATTCATTGCATTTGCTATTGATCTAGTTGGTGATACAACAATGAATGGTTTAGAGAGCCAATATTCAAGAATATCCTGGAATTGTTGAAAACTAGATTAAAGAACCAAGTGTTCTCCTCTCATGTACAACCAGAAGATTGTCGGGAATTCACTGTGCCAACTCATTTGAAATATTTAAATAAGAGAAAATTATTTGGGAAAAAGTGAGTTTCAGTTATCTATTCAAAAGTGTGTTTATATATATATATATATTTTTGTGTGGGGAGGGAAAGAGAGAGAGAGATGTGAGGGTGGTAAGTCATAACCATATAGCTAATTCAAATCTCCACATTCAAAGCCCCCTTTTTTACCATTAGCAAGAACTTACTGCAGTTCATATCATAAGGAATTCAAACAACTGCTTGAAATTCATTATCCAGAAGTACCGCTTGTGGAACTTCAATATCTCTGTTATATATAAATAGTTTCGGGTATCACTAATAGTCTAATATTATTATGTCACATTGGCCGACGTATGATATGATTTGAAATAAGATTAGTTATTGAATATTACAGTACTACTTGAAAATGGTTATCTAAGTATTCAATTTTTTAACTTCAATTTATGTATCAAAATTTCAGTTAATGGGTGATACATTATAAACAAGGAATGCTACTGTACTGATAATTGAGAATGTCAAGTGGTAATGATCCCTCCATAATGCCCTTTGTAACCTTTATCTTCTCCTCTGGCTGGGAATCCTGGGATGGCTTCATCAGAAAATCTAATGTATTTACTTCAGCTTCATGCTAAAATTTAAAAATTGTTAGTGTATATTCTGTTACCTCTGGTAAGGTTTTCTTAAAGAAGTCTCTTAGCTGGCTCTAGTGAGCATTTGTTCATGTTCATCAAAATTCTAATTTTCTATTTTTTCTGTTTATTTCCACTATTGGGAGTGGAAACTTCTGAGTGGAAGTTTCAAATTGTAGCAATTTTTATACATGCACTATTACTTGATATATGATTTTATATAATATGTATATGTGCATAAAAATTTAAAAAACTTTGAGTCTTCTTAATTAGCAATCACGTGGAGCACTGCAGTCAACTTTCTACGCATTGACCAATGAAATTCCTAGTGAAATTTATATATGAAACAATATTGCATGAATAATTTAGTGAAAATATTAAGTAACATCTCTCTTTCCCTTGATATGTAATATGAATCTGAATAGGGTGATTTGCACGGGTTTTACAGATAGCAATGTATTAGCATGACATTCTCTTCATTAAACAGCCAAAACTAGACTGATAGTATTCATTTGCAAGATCCAATTTCACTTTGTAAACACTAGTGACATGCAATTCTAACCATATATTAGATAGTGGCATATCCATTTTCTTTTGTCATTCTCGGTGATAAAATAAGTTTCCTTCTTCATATATACCATTATTTTTACTTGTAATTATATCACTCCTAGGAATTTAATTCACTGCTGTTGATGTTATATTAGTCAAGGGCAGTTTGATATATTTGTGCTTTTAGTAGGGTTGTGTGATGTATTCAATTAACACCTTATTATTGATAATTCTTAGTCCTGAAATAAATCAACAAAAAAACAATTGTGTTTTTCTATATGGTGCTACATATATCAGTAACCTTCATAAAGCATGTCACAATTGAAAATTGTTTAAATAATATTTTGCATTTGATGTGTATAATGACAAAATATCTCAATGAGTGTCACGGAGTTTTCGCTGCTGGGAAAACGAGGTTCAAAACCAGAAAAATGAGTTACAATTTTCCACCATGTTGCAGTGGGAGAATTTGTTGAGTGATGGTGGTGAAGTTTATGGTTGAAATTTAGTTTAGGAATAAGGAGACCTCTATGATGTGAATTTGTCATGGCAAAAACTGGCATTTTTCCTGAACAGAGACGAGGATGCAAATGGTTACAATTTTCATTTCCTTATGCAACATAAAGCAGCCTAGTGCAAATCTCAAACACGAACAGTGCTTCCCAAGAAAATGGAGCTGATATTTAACTTCAGTTAATTTCTTTTGTTTTGTTGTTCTTAGTAACTTCTTACACATTCCATTAGTAAAATTTTTTATTTTTATTTTTATTGCAGCATTCCTAGAACTATTGGAGTTTCAATACCAATGAAGGCTACTTTCTTTATTACATATATAATGGTTGATGGGTGGGCTGCCGTTGCTAGTGAGATTCTACGTTTGAAGCCTTTGGTCATTTTCCACCTTAAGAACATATTCCTGGTGAAAACTGAAAGGGACAGAGAGAAGGCAATGGACCCTCACAGTGTGGATCTTCCAGAGACTCTTCCAAGTCTTCAACTGTACTTCCTGCTGGGTATTGTGTATGCCGTGGTTACTCCGATCCTTCTTCCTTTCATACTAGTCTTCTTTGCCTTTGCATTTTTTGTCTACCGTCATCAGGTTAGTTTCTTCATTGAATTTGGTTTTTATTTCTTATTAGATGGCTTAGAGCTTTTAATTAGATTCAAAATTGAAAAGCAGGGTTATGGAAATTCCAGTTTGATGATATACTAATATTATAGTGGGGTTCAGTAGACATTGACAGAACTGTACATTTTTTTTTTGGGTTTTGGAAACTTGGTGACATTGTCAGGATTCAGGAAGACAGAAGCCCAGGAATATTATTAGAATGCAAGAAATATCCACGGATTTTCGGAGAATGATTCAGAAAAAACTTTATTTAGGATGAAGTAAACTTAAGAGATGTAAAAAAAAAACACAATCTTTCTTCTCAAATATTAAAAAGCAATACTTAAAATTGCAGCTTTCCACTACAATTTTAGTAGTTATTTGGAGAAGTCCCAAAAATGTTCAAATTATCAAGTGGTGCTCATAAAATCATATTATTTGTGGTGAGTGAATGATTTATCTGTAACTCATAGCTGTTTTTAGAAATTGAGAGAATATTGTCATGTTTGAGCCTAATAATTGATTTCAGTTTACATCATTTATAATTGTATACCATGGTAAGTTTTGCCTGCATAATTTCACATTGAGATTTTCTACTCTGCTTGATCATACAGATTATTAATGTGTATCATCAACAATATGAGAGTGCTGCTGCATTCTGGCCACATGTTCACAGCCGCATAATAGCGAGCTTGTTGATTTCTCAACTTCTATTGATGGGTCTTCTCAGCACAAAAAAGGCTGCAAATTCCACTCCTTTGCTAGTTGTCTTGCCCATATTGACGTTATCTTTCCACAAGTACTGCAAGAACCGCTTTGAACCTGCATTCAGAAAGTACCCCCTTGAGGTCAGTTCCGTCCATCTAAATATCAAAATATAATAATTAGGTTGAAGTAAACTTTTCTCTAAATATTCATGCTAACATAGTTCATGTGTAATGTGGATAGAGATGCAAAAATAAAATTATGTTGTAAATATCAAGAGTTATTCGATCACCATAGTATCAACAGTGTACACAAGTCTAGATTATGTGGATCTGTAGAACATACCCACAATAGTATCAACAGTGTACTACAGTATCTGCTTTAGTGTCCGTGACTCTAGGGATTTTCTTTTACCTGATGATTACATTTGATAATATTCTAATTTGGTAACCTAGATTTGCTAATTGAAGGATTCAACCAAAATTTTAGAGAACTTTTTGCTTGTGTGCATCATATTTTATACAGACACATGCTGACCAAAGGCTTCAAATAAATGAGGGTAATGGCATTGTAAGATTCTGTGACTTGTGCTTGTGTTTGAGAATGTCTGACCACTAACAGTTGAGTTTTGGACAGTGTCTATATCTGAAGACATATATGTTTTTTATATTTTCCTCATGTGAACTTGTTTGTGTAGAATTGATGTTTAATGACCTGTGTGAAATAGTTGGATACCTTCGTGTGTCTTGAAGTAGATCGTCAAATAATTTTAATTGCCAAATTTGCCTTTGATAAGGCATTTGAATGACGAAATCAATCATATTATCCAGTTGTTTTTTACCAAGGGATTGAAATATGGCCTATTACCTTGTTTCTATAAGCATCCGGATGACCGAAATTCTTTCCACGACAATTGTGCAACCTAGGCATCTTAATACTTTATTGATATGCGTCTCATTTCTATTTGGGGAAGATGTTCTTCTTGACCTTGCCCTTCCCATGCTGCTCAGAACTGAAGCCGCAATGGCTATGTTAGAGAGAAATTTTTGGTGTTTGCTTGTAACATTATTAATAATAGTTGGCAAAAGGGCTTTGTTCTGTTATTGAGTTGTATCTAAAATCGTTGACAGAACTTGTACAAAATTGATTTGTGATATTTGTGCTTTGCTGATTGATACTTTACAGTATGCTTACTTTTTGTATTCATATTACTGATGGAAGTGTGTTTCCTCTTATTGCTGCCTTCAGGAAGCCATGGCAAAGGACACACAGGAACGCGCTGCTGAGCCTGCCCTCAACATGAAATCTTACTTGGCTGATGCATACTTGCACCCGATATTCCACTCATTCGAAGAAGTTGAGTTAGTTGAGGTCCGAGTGGACAAGAACCAAACTCACATCCCCAGTCCCTCGGCAAGTGAACCCTCTTCCCCCTCCCCACCTCATTACGCCCACCACTACGAAGAAGAGCCGCCCCACAATGTTTATCACTATGAAGTGGAACAATCCCATGATGGATATCATTATGAAGTGGAACAATCCCATGATGGGTATCGTTACGAAGTTGAGTCACCCCATAATGCCTACCATTACAATTATGAGTCACCCCCGAACGTCTACCATTACTGAAGTGAGTCTTTTTTATAGCTGAGATTTGAGTTGCTTCTGCTACCTTGAAGCCCTAACCGTCGTTTTAGTTATTAGACTGAACACTGTCTAACAAGGTATTTCCTGTTTGGCTTGTAAATTATTGTTGATCAAATGTTAGTGCCAAATAGTTTGAGCTTTTCTTGAAAACTAAAACACTGTCTAACAAGGTCTTTCTTGTTTGAATTGTAGTTATTGTTGATCAATGTTAGAGCAAATTGTTTGAGCTTTTCTCGAAAACTTAAGTCTCTATCATGGTCTATTTGGTTGTTAAATTTTTCAGGAAAACAATTTCTTTACACATCCCTTTCTTGTAATTTATATAAAGAACAATGCTATTCAGGCTTTGAAGACTTGGGCCGAATCACATGCATATTCCGCGACCAGCACATGCATCAATCGGCCCACTGAAAATAAATTTTTTTTTATAAAAGGGTAAAATGCACAAAACCCTTATCTGTATACTACAAAATATGCAAGAAACACACACTCCCGAATTTATATTTTAATACTGTATGTTGTAGCAAATTGCCACAGGTCAACAATTTTGACAATTTTTAAAATAAAAATTCCAAAATACCCTTAAGGACATTTTAACTATTTTGGTCTTCAATTTTTTTTTAATAAAAACTCCAAAATACTCCAATACCCCAAATTTTTTGTGAAAACCACAAATATATATATATATATATATATATAGATTCCAACAATTTGAAATTAAGTATTTTATTTTTATTTCGTCTTAAGGGCATTTTAGTTATTTTTGTCTTTAAATTGAATAATTGTCCTTATTTGCTCAATTTGAAAAAATGTAAGGAGATATTGCACATTTTGTTTATAGCAACGTTTTATTTATTTATTTTTTTAAACTGTACCATTTATATAAAAGAGGGAGGACAACATTATTAACAAGTTGGTACCCTTTTTTTTTTTTTTTTAAACCACGTCTGGGGCTGAATATCAGATTTTAGGCATGGGGTTTAGGAATAGACAAATAAGGTTTGCTGCTATTATCCTCGGATGATGACACAGTTGACCGTTGGACTAAATAGTACAGAATTGATCCCACATAAAAGAGTTATCTAAAAATTATAACTTAGTACTAAATCACAAAATTTTAAATTAATCATCATGCATGTGGCAGACAATAGGCAGAAGAAAAGGTTTGGATTTTCTGGTTCTAACTCGTATTTCATGGGATTTTTAGCTATTTATCATGTATCTAGATTTTTCGTAATCCATATATTATTTTCTTAAATAATTAAATCATTAATCTTATACTTGTGGCATATTTACATCAATAGATTTCTTGTGTTTTAAATCCTAGTTTGTAATCTATGTAGATGCATACCAAGCGACATTTGACAAATTAATAAGAATCGAAGTATCAATTTCAGAAGATTTTAGGGCCTTTTGGACTTGGAAATGTAGATTAAACATAACATATACAATGCTTATACTTGGCTTGCATGGAAACTTGCATAGATAAATTCGTGAATTGCATAGGTAAGAGGAAGCTACATAAAAAGTGACAGAGCCGAGCACATTTCAGGTTTTCAACTTTAATTCTCAGCCTATACCAAACTCAGCCTCGTAATAATTTGAATTCTTAGCAATCAAAGGATATTACAGCTAGAACTTAATGTATTACACTTGTTCTGAAGTTGGAATAAGATGTACACACTCAAGGACTAAATTAAGCAGCTTAAACAGCAACAAAATAGTTGCTTACATCAGGCTTATTTGTGCTGCTGTAGCATTCTGGTTTGAGGGGCAGTTCAGTAAATTCATGACTGACCCTTGTTGAATCTTATTCTCTCAGCTTTAATTCATCATATAACACATGCTCCAATTGCCACTTCTTAGTATTTAACAAGTTAATAACAAATCACAGCTCAAACCAAGCTTCACAAATATTTTCTGCAGCAGCACTGTTCTTAATGACAAAATTGCAATTTTGCAGTTGCACAGCTTAATTCTTGGTCGGTGGATATTGATGGGGATTGTGCATTTTAAACATTGATGGGGATTGTGCATTTTAAACATGTAGATTAAGTTGGCTTTTTAAATTTATTTATTTTTACAACCATTAACACATTTCTCTTAAATTTATGATATGGTAAATAATTACATGATCTCTTAATCATTCATCCAGCCAATTATTTATTGACATATTTTTGACATGTCAAATAGTGTTTGGCCAAAATCACTGAAAATTCACTTTTGTGATTAAAAATAAAAAAATCGTATTTAATAATTTTTTATTTATAAAAATATTTAAAAATTTTAATTTTTTACTTACATACTTAATAATGATTGCTCGAGACTAATGATCTCCAACCATCTAATTGTTTTTTATTAATGTATGATCTCTAGATATTGATCGGGATTGTGCATTTTAAACATGTGCCCGCAACACAGAGAGAGTGCCCTAGAGTGGCGTGTGTGGACCGATGGCCACCTTGGTTAATTGATTCTCTTTTTGTGAATTCTAATATTCTATATTTCTTCAGTCATTAGCACATAAACAATTGTGCCGAAAACATTTCTCTTTCATCTATTATATGATAAATTATTGCATAATTTCGGGATTATTAGTCTCGCCAATCACTTTTTGACATATTTATTTATGTATTTAATGGTGCTTGGTAAGGACTCCGAAGATTAACTTTTGCGGCTTTCAAAAGAAGAAAAAACTTTATTTAATATATATATATTTTTTACGTATAGAAATATTTAAAAAATAATAATAATTTTTTGCTTACATATTCAAAAGTGATTGGCCGAGACTAACTGTTTCGAGACCATATAAAACTTTCTCTTTAATCTAGGGTTCTTTCTAATTACTTTTTGACGAACTTTTGACATATGTCAAATGGTTATTGATTATGATCAATGAAACTGTAGAACACTGATCGGAAAGTCGAAGCCTTTCAAATATCCATTTTAGAGTTTTTTGTAAAATATTTTTTTAACAAAATTTCTGGAATAAATAAAAAAAAAAAGAACTATTTTTTTTTTTCTCTTTTTTTAAGTCAATCCCAAAGGATAAACTTAATTTTAAATGTACAAACAATAAATATATATATATATATATATATATATATATATATATATATATATATATATATAATTACATTATGTTCGCATGTAATTACATACTTATATTTGACATAATTGCACTTTACTTCGTAAGTGGTTGGTTTCAAGATTTGAATGTGCGCACTCATATTCGTCTTGTAGGCGTGAATCATGTGTTGTATGAAAGCATGCATGTGAAACATAGCGTGTAATATTATTCATAAATACTTTAGAGGCTTGCATATATGTATTAATTATTATTATTTTTCGATTTTGCTCCGATCCTCAACATGGAACTTTATATTGTTAAATTAATGTCTACTCTACTTTTTCAGAATTCATTCTGTTTAATTTCGATTAAATTATTCAAAATTCTATATTTTAGACATATTTTGTGAAATCGTTTTGGTGTTTTAGAATAAGATATATTATGGAGGGATGATTAATATAAATAAGGATCCTATATCTTTATATGGTTTTCACAAGAAACCAAGATAAGTACATTAATGACATTATACCAAAGTATATTCGAATTAAATAATTTTATGTTCATTTTCTGCAACAATAATGATTTGTACCCTTTCATTAGATCATATTAAATCTTAAGTTGAATTGAAATGGAATGAATAATTTTTATGTCAAATAATTTGTACTAGTATTGTTTAAGTAGATGCAAATGAGTCAATAGTCACATTAAAACTTAAGTTGAATTGAAATCCAATGCATTATTTTTGTTTTGACTTATCATTACTTTGATATTATTTGTCCAAATCTATTAAAAATATATTAGATTCGAATCTATTCGGATCATTTTTTTAAGTTACACCCTATCAAAAAAAAATACCCAATACTTTTTATATTTATTTATTTTTGAGTAAATGACAAATCTAACTATTTTACATGACTAGAATGACATGATAATGTACCAAGAGACTTGTGTCCTAATGATATTTTATTTACCTTTCAAAATGGATGGTGAATATTTGAGTTTTCAAAGAAACAAAGTGGGTGTGTGGGTGGCTAAGAAGCACATGTACTTACATGTCGAATAACGATATTCCTTGGATACTCATAAATACATGTCCGATACTTCTTAATTGTATTCATACTTTTAATATATATTTTCTATTTTCTAACATGTATTTAATACTTTTAAGATACTTTGATTGCGTATCTTATAATTCTCAAATACTTTATAACACATTTTAGACAAGTTTTTGAACATTAAAATGTATCTTTTCCAATAAAAATAACACAATATAACTTGTTAGAAAAGTTCAAATTTTATTAATTGATAACCGGTAATGTTTGTTTCATATGTCGGGAAACTAACTTCTATGTTATATTAGTGATTGCATTTCGATTCATAATATTTTCAAAAATTAACCAAAAATTATTTTTCTTATATATATAAAAATATAATTTATGATTTTTCCAATTACCTTATCCCCTCTTTTTTTTTTTTTTTTTTTCAGATTTGTGGTCTGTATTTTGTATCTGTACTTCTAAAGTGAGTGGTGTGCGAGTCTCTACTCAAGTATCTCTACTCATATAAATCAATTGAAATACAGACCACAAATCTGAAAAAAAAAAAAACATAAATACAAATATTTCTTGTCCGTGAAAAAAATAATCAAACAGCCACATTCACATAAAAATCATGTTCTCACCATCCACCATTTTTAATACCGAGTCAAGTCATCCCTAGGAACTTAAACCATGTATATACACAGACATTATATATAAGTGCATGTGTTACCGAATATCTATATTCTATACAAACAGCAAAGACATTCCTTGTTTCTTTCCTCTCCACAGAACTAGCTTATGGCAACATTAACAAATGCCAACCATATGAACTGCCACTTCTCAGAATACCAATCTACAGAGATTCAGACCCAACACCCAAAAGCCTCAAAAGCCCTTCCTGATTGGTACTCTTCAGAAACAGGAATATACCACAGCAAACACTCTCCTGTAAACCTCCCATCAGACCCATTTCTTGATGTTGTCTCCTTCATTTTCTCACACAAACACAATGGGGTCTCAGCTCTCGTTGATTCCTCATCTGGTTCTTCAATTTCTTACTCAGAGCTCCACCCAATGGTCAAATCCATGGCTTGTGGCCTCCACCAAATGGGTGTTTCACAAGGTGATGTTGTTTTGGTTCTTTTGCCCAATTCAATTTACTTTCCTGTCATTTTCTTGGGTGTTTTGTATTTGGGTGCTATTGTCACTACCATGAATTCCTCAAGTAGTTTCATTGAGGTAAAAAAACAAACACTTGACTGCCATTTAGCTTTGGCATTTACCATGTTGGAAAAGGTTGATGAATTGAAGAGTTTGGGTGTGCCTGTAATTGGGGTACCAGAAAATGTGAATTCCAATTCGAAACAAAATGGGTTTTCTGATTTCCACAAGCTCATTTCAATTAATCCCAATTCGGTTCAGAGACCGGTAATTAGTCAGCATGACACTGCTGCCATAATGTATTCTTCTGGTACCACTGGTGCTAGCAAAGGTGTTGTGTTAACACATAGGTGTTTTATAGCCATGATTGAGCTTTTTGTTCGGTTTGAAGCTTCTCAATACGAGGGTTTAGGTTCAGAAAATGTGTACTTAGCTGTTCTACCAATGTTCCATATATATGGTCTTTCCCTTTTTGTGATGGGATTGTTGTCATTGGGTACTACCATTGTTGTGATGAAGAAGTTTGATGCAAATGAAATGGTGAGAGCCGTTGATAGATATAGAGTCACCCACTTCCCTGTCGTCCCACCGTTATTGATGGCATTGACCGCTAGAGCAAAGGGAGTTGCCGGAAGTAGTTTGAAGAGTTTGAAGCAGGTTTCATGCGGTGCAGCTCCTTTGAGCAAGAAATTCATTGAGGATTTCATTCAGACTCTACCACATGTTGATTTTATTCAGGTAAGAAACTGAATTGATTATATCTTCTTAGAATATTATGTAAAGTCAATTTTAAACAATATTCCATAGTTACTAGATTGTTCATTCCATCTATTGTAGTAGTTGAGAAGCCCTTTACTTTCATGCTCTGACTGGTTTACAAGAAAATTTTGGTAAATATGAAATCTTACCTTTGGTTTAGTATGCATATGAATATGCTTTGATATAGAATGTCAATATTTACCCTCAAGTTTAGTAAATTAGTACTAAATACAAAACAAAATCTTAAATCCTTGTATTTACTTTACCACAAGCAAAAGTCCAATATGATAGAAAATGTCTCACCAAAGTTAGTAAAAGACACAAGGTGTGCCAGGAGCACATGGCACAGCAGAAGATGCGGGCTAGAGGGAAGCAGGGCCCGTGCGTGATGTCAATGTATATTACATATATGGACAATCAAAATAATTCAAGTATGCTACACAAGCAAGTAAAACTTCCGAAAAAGGACTTGCCCAAAACTAAAAAAAAAAAGTGATTTTTTAGCATGCAAATGTTTCCTTTCAGTTTGCAAATGCTTCATCTAAATTAAATACTGTTGGACTCATAATGAAGCACTAGATGTGTCCAATCCAACTAAATCACATACTCTAGTTGCCAAATACCTAATATGGTTAAACAATATGCTTTATAACAAAAGGCAATAATCAGTGGCAGAGCTACATGGGGTCCCCCCACTGGATTTTCTTATTAAGCAGTAGATGCATCCAATCCAAGTAAAATCACATGCACATAATCTAGTTGCTAAATATCTATATGATTAAACAATATAATCAGTCGAGGAGCCACATGGGGTCCAGTGGGGCAGCAGCCTCCACTGGACTTTCTTATTAAGTTGATTTTGTATGTACAAGTTTGGGTTTTTATAAAAATGCCCCCACTAGAAACTTAGGAAATTCTCAAAAGAAACCCAATAATATTCTAAAAGAAACTTTTATTAACTCCAAATTCAAAAGAGACACTTGAACTTTTCTCCTAACATTATCAATCTGTACTAAATTTTTGCATTTAATTGTTCTGGTTCATTTTATATATATATATATATATCTATTAAGGAAATTTCACCCCTGCAAGTGTGTATCCGGATTCGGCCCAAATAACAAAATTCTATTATAAAGGTTGCCCCCACTCCAGTAAATTCCTTGCTCTGCCACTGGCAATAATATGCATAGGGCATTATCGATCAATGGTCATTTGAATAAAAAAAAGGAAGTTGTGATTCAATGACCCAAAAAGGGTGCACTTTCTTGTGCCTACAGCCTACTTAAAACCACACTTGAGGGCTCTAGGCCTTTACACATGACTAATGAAGAGCCATTTCATGGTGCAGAATGGGGCGCTTTGGTTGTGCCTTAATAAGCACGGGACTTCTTTTGGACCTAGTCATGCCTTAAACTACCATGTTTTGGGATTCCCTATTTTACTAATCTTACATTTTGCTCGGGAAACAGTTGAAACATGACAAACATGATATATCACATGGCAAAACAAGGTTGATAAATCCAGTTTACTCTTCTTGAGTTTGAACAATTTTATTTTTGTTCTTATTTTACAAATATTTTTGTTGTATTTTCATTATTTTCACAGGGTTATGGCATGACTGAGTCAACTGCTGTTGCAACCCGTGGCTTTAATACTGAAAAGTTTCAAAACTATACTTCAGTTGGACTTCTGGCTCCAAACATGCAAGCTAAAGTGGTAAATTGGATTAATGGGTCTTCCTTGCCTCCTGGCTGCAGTGGTGAACTTTGGTTACGAGGGCCCGCTATTATGAAAGGTAATTATTCTTCTCAAGTCTTGTGGTTGCTCTTGGTATTTACCATAATTGGATTTGCCATCTTTTATGACTAATTTTGTTCTAAAACTCACGCCTTATCTTCATGATCATTTGGATATGGATTTTCCCTATAAGTTTCTTTACATGTCCATATTTCCCTTTGTAGTGTGTTGGCTGAGTTAAAACCGATTTTGCTTTCTCATCTTTGATCCCTAGCTATGGTTTTTTGACTTTGAGGTAATAGTTTTCACTTGATTTTCTATGTTCGTCAGATTCTATTATTGTCAAACCTAGTCCTTGCATCTAACTGCTTCCCTTGCAATTGGAAGCTCCAGATTTTATCTTTCTTTCATTCATGCAGTATATTTTTAATGAATGAACTTAGGATCCATCTGGATTGAAAGATTTGAAATGAATGGATTTAGGTTTATTTGCTTAAGGAGTATAACTTAACTTTATATTTAAGTCTCAACAATGTACATTGATTGAATTGAGCGCCTTATATATATGAACTTTATTAGTAGAACAATGATTGTAATAAAATATGTATTGCATATCTCTAAGATAACTTTCCTTATAATTCTATCAACCTATTCAAATCAATTTATTTATTTAAATGTCCCATTAATGCTATCAACCTCGTCTATGGTATTGGGAACCATTTAGAAGTGCCCATTGTCATCAAATATCACCTGAAGGTAAAATTTTTTGCTTCATCCAGACAGAAAAAAGTCTCGAAAGAGGGCCATGATACATATATATATTTTTTTCTTTCCCTCTTGACATGTTCTTACTTCCTCGTCAAAACTTGAACTTCGATGATTTTCCACTGGCTTGCTAGGTTTCTTGAACAATATGGGGGCAACTATGTTGACAATTGATAAAGATGGTTGGCTACATACTGGAGACATTGTTTATTTTGATCAAGAAGGTTACTTATATGTACTTGATCGCTTGAAAGAGATCATCAAGTACAAAGGCTTTCAGGTATATAATCAATCTATGATCCAAGTCATGTATAATTCTTCACCTGATTTAACTCTTCATCATTGTGAATGGCATATTAGTGAGGATGTTCTTCATTTGGCACAGTATAAAAGTAGTCGCAAGAATGATTTTTGTTTTGAGGTTTTCTTCTTTCACAGATTAGAGGACCAAAATATTAGTTAGACACGTGAGATTGACTTGCAAGCATGTTTCGGTCAAAACCAATTTCAACATTGTTATCCATTAAGTTGTTGCAGATAGATGCAGTCTAATGGATAGCATGTAACTTTTGCAGATTGCTCCTGCTGATTTAGAGGCTGTATTGATTTCCCATCCAGATATAATAGATGCTGCAGTTACGGCGTAAGTGTGAACATTTTATGAAAATGCGCTTGAATCATTGCTACAGAGCACATTAACGCATTGTTAAATGCTCACAAAATTTCCATAGCATTAAACAGTAGACCGGTGATTTAAAAAATATATGGGTTTACATGGAGCGAAATGAGAAAATGACCCATGAACCTCAACCCCCAATATAATGAATCATGAAGCTCAACCCCCAATATTTGGGTTTATTGAGTTGAGTTGAGTTGAGTTGAGCTGAATTGCTTTTGAAGGCATATAGAGATCTTTTACAAGTCGATCACTATCACAGTAAGATAATTGTGCTGCTGCTTTAAGAGGAATTATCACCAAATTACAATAAATTGCTAAAATGATTGTAGCCGAACAGGTAAACATTCTTTGCACCAGATTTCTAAAGTGCCTTATCAAATGCATATCACAACTACGTAGAGTGCTGAGAGAGACTGGAGACATACTTTACGCATTATTGTGTGCAAAGTGACTGTGTTAGTACTTAACCTTGCATGCAACTTCATGCTTGTAACAGATTCAGTTAAAAAGGGGGGAGAAGAAAAGAAAAAGAAGAAGGATAGAATTCGCATTGTAGAGCGGAATTGCATTTATTTCTGTGTAGCATCCAAATTCCAAACATCGTGTCCATATCTTGCGTGAATTTCAAATGTCTTTGTGCAGAGTCAAGGATGAAAAGGCCGGGGAGGTTCCGGTGGCATTTGTAGTCAAGAGGCATGGAAGTGTGCTTTCCCAGGCAGCTGTGATAGACTATGTAGCTAAGCAGGTTATTTATTTTGATCTTAATGACCTCCTACTCTTTCCAGGCTGTATAATCTTAATCTGCGAATTTTCTACCAAGTGTTCGCGCTGCTCATGGTTTTACTTTCACTAATGGCAGGTTGCACCATACAAGAAGGTGAGGAAGGTGGTGTTCACACACTCGATACCAAGGTCTGCTACCGGGAAGATTCTCCGATGGAAATTGACAAACCTCTTGACTTCTAAACTCTAAGGCCTCTTTCCAAAACATGCTTGTCTCAGAAGTAGCAGAAATGGCAATTCATCAGAATGTTATTCATTTTATAGTAAGTTACATTTGAAAAGAAAAGTTTTGAAAACTCAAAGCAGAAGAAACTAGTCATTAAGCATTGTGTAGATTCTTTTTAGGGATGTAACTTTATGTAATTGGTAAATGACTATTTGTCAAAATTTTGACACACACACACACACAAATATATTGAGAAGAAGAAAATTTATTAACAAATGAGAAGCAGCTTAACATAATAGGGAAGGCAACAAAATGATGTCATTAAAGTAAAAGAAGTTACTATTCAAAAATTTTAAGGATAGAAAAAAATTATTCTTTAAGGCTTGTAAAATATATATATATATATATATATATATTTTTAAAAATTATTTTTATTTTTCAGTGTTTGGCAAAAGTTTAGGCCGAGGTTGAGAACGAGTTCATTTGATGGGACGTGTAAAATAACTCTATTGAAAATTGATAATTTAATTATTTTTATTAGTTTTTAATTTTTTTCTTCGTAAATTTTACAATAACCAAACATAAAAAATAATAAGAGTGATAGGGAATCTGACAGTCGGACACATCCAACTAAATTTATGTGAGTAGAGGATGATTTCATGATGACATTATCATATTATTTCATTTGAGTAGAGGATGATATTATCATATGTAATGACGTCACGATGATATTATTCCCCACACTTACATTTGGGACTAGTTATCATTAATCAAATAAGGGTTAATTACACTCACACCCTCTAAGGTTTGTTCTATTGACAGATGAAAGTTAGTCCTTTTTTTAACAATGGCACCTCCTTAAATTTGGTAAAGTTAACAAAGGACCCCCAAATCATCACTGTCACATCCTATGCACTATAAAATGACCTAAATACTCTTTGAATTGTCAACAATCATATTTATATCATAAAATGACTTAAATGCGCTCCCTCTCACACTATATTAACAATCCATACCCACAAAATAGATATATATATATATATATATATATATATATATATTGTGAGACTCTCCATTGATGTTCTTCAGAGAGGGAGAATGTCCACCTCCATTGATGCTCTTATTAAATTTTTTATATATATATACACACACGCGTAATATTTTCTAAAAAAAAGAAAAAAAAAAAAGAAAAGAAGGTAGATTCACTACTTAATTCATTTCCAAATCATACCTCAAGCTTCATACAATGAACAAAGCTAGAAAGTGCAAAACCCATAAATAGAATCAAGCCGGTTGCTGAGCCTATCATCTGACTGACAGCAATTACAGAGCCTAATCGAACCCACCACTATCAACTATAACCAACCTTATAATGTGTATATTAACACACTTACATATATATATATATATACTAGTAAAAGGTACGTGCGATGCACGTGATGAATGTTTTTTAACTTATATAATTTATATTTTTATGTACTTTCTAATTGTTTATAGTTTTATAAAAAAAAAAAAAATAGACAAAACAATTTCAGACCCAAAATGTGTTAGAGAGTAATAGTTGTCACCTCAAAAGAAGCAAAATAAAAAATATAAAGGGTTGATGATTCTGTAAAACAGCAAATTGAAAATAAAATTCTATAATTTACAAAACATTCATAAATAAATACTATATAAAAATTCTATATATTATAAAATCCAAAAGGGTATTAACAATAAATTTTTAAATATTTATTAGTAGATATAAAAAAATAAAATAATTTATCTAAAACTCTACCACAAATTACCTTTTATTACGAGTGTAAATATTGATCTTAGCCTGATCTTAGCCAAAAAGCCGAGAAAGTAGTACTACACTTGATCTTAGCCAAAAGACCGAGAAATGTTAACCAAAAGGCAGACCCAAAAAATTTTAATACTACACTTGATCTTAGCTAAAAGGTCGAGAAAGGTTAGCCAAAAGGGCGAGAAAGGTGTGATTAATATTTCTTTAGGACTATATATAATTTGAAATATATTTCGTGTTAAGTTTTACTAAATATTTTATTTGAATTTTATTAGGTAATAATTTTTAGAGTTTTTATAATTTGAAATATGTTGGTAATTTGTAATTTGAATTAAACTATTTAAATAAATTTTTAAGAATTTTATTAGGTAATTTGTAATTTGAATTAAACTCTTTAAATAATTTTTAGGTAATTTTTTTTTATATTAAAAAAATTTGGTATTACACTTGATCTTAGCCAAAAGGCCAAGAAAGGTGAGCCAAAAGGCCGAAAAATGTTAAATTTAGTACTATACTTGATCTTAGCCAAAATACCAAAAAAGGTTAGCCAAAAGGCCGAGAAAGGTGTGACTAATATTTATTTAGGTCTATACTTTTATAAGAGGCTTCCATGTAATCCTTTATAACTCAAAACCAATGTGGGATAAGAAAAATGAATTTTATTAGGTACACTTTGATTTAGAGGGTGCACCAAAACTTGGTAGTAGTGCAACACCAAGGAAATGCTAGGATCACTAAAGTAGTAAGCTACTCTAGTTGACCGGACTCAAAAAAATTTAGTACTATACTTGATCTTAGCCAAAAAGGCTGAAAAATGTTAGCCAAAAGGTCGAGAAATGTGTGATTAATATTTCTTTAGGTTTATAGTTTTATAAAAGGCTTCTATGTAATCCTTTATAACTCAAAACCAATATGAGACAAGAAAATTTTATTAGATAATTTGTAATTTGAATTAGACTCTTCAAATAATTTTTAGATAATTTTTTTATATATTAATAAATAAATACTGAAATACTAAGGCTGAGAAAGTAGTACTACACTTGATCTTAGCCAAAAGGCCGACCCAAAAAAAATTAGTACTTCACTTGATTTTAACTAAAAAGCCGAGAAAGGTTACCCAAAAGGCCGAGAAAGTGGTACTACACTTGATCTTAGCCTGATCATAGCCAAAAGGCTAAAAAAGTAGTACTACACTTGATCTTAGCCAAAAGACCAACAAATGTTAGCCAAAACGTCGACCCAAAAAAATTTCGTACTACACTTGATCTTGGCCAAAAGGCTGAGATAGGTTAGCGAAAAGATCAAGAAAGGTTAGCCAAAAGGCCGCGAAAGGTGTGATTATTATTTCTTTAGGTCTATAGTTTTATTAGAGGCTTCTATGTAATCTTTTATACTTAAAACCAATGTGGGACAAGAAAAATGAATTTTATTAGGTAATTTGTAATTTGAATTAAACTCTTTAAATTAATTTTTATAAATTTTATTAGGTAATTTGTAATTTGAATTAAACTCTTTAAATAATTTTTAGGTAATTTTTTGTTTATAAAAACTCTTTTTTTATATTAATAAATAAATACTGAAATATTGGGACAAGAAAAATGAAGTTTATTGGGTAATTTTTAATTTGAATTAAACTATTTAAATTAATTTTTATGAATTTTATTAGGTAATTTGTAATTTGAATTAGACTCTTTAAATAATTTGAAAGGTTAGCCAAAAGGTTGAGAAAGTAAGACTACACTTGATCTTAGCCAAAAGGTCGAGAAAGGTGTTATTATTATTTCTTTAGGTCTATAATTTTATAAGAGGCTTCCATTTAATCATTTATAACTCAAAACCGATGTAGGACAAGAAAAAATGAATTTTATTAGGTAATTTGTAATTAAAATTAAACTCCTTTAATTAATTTTTATGCTGTTTAAATTAATATTTATGAATTTTGTTAGGTAATTTGAATATATTTCGTGTTACGGTTTTAATAAATATTTTATTTGAATTTTATTAGGCAACAAAATTTTATATTTTATTTGAATTTTTTTAGGTAATAATTTTTAGAGTTTCTATAATTTGAAATATATTTCGTGTTAGAGTTTTAATAAATATTTTATTTGAATTTTATTAGGTACTAATTTATAGAGTTTCTATAATTTGTGTAAGAGTTAAAATATATTTTGTGTTAGAGTTTAATAGAAACTCTTTTAAAATCTCTTTTTATATGAATTAATAAATATTTTTTATATATTAATAATTCTTGTCTAATTAGATTTTCTTTTATTAAAAAACTCATAATAAATAGATAAATAGCTAATTTATGTTAGAGTTTATAGAAACTATTTTAAAATTAACCTCTTTTTATATCAATTAATAAATAATTTTTATATTAATAGTCCTTGTCAAATTAGATTTCATTTTATTAAAAAACTCATAATAAATAAATAAATAGGTAATTTGTGTTAGAATAATTTTTAGACTTTTATGTTAGAGTTTTAATAAATATTTTATTTGAATTTTATTAGGTAATATTTTTTAGAGATTCTATAATTTGAAATGTATTTCTTGTTAGAGTTTTAATAAATGTTTTATTTGAAATTTATTAGGTAATAATTTTTATATTTTATTTGAATTTTATTAGGTAATAATAAGGCTGAGAAAGTAGTACTACACTTGATCTTAGCCAAAAGGCCGAGAAAGGTTAGCCATCGACCCAAAAAAAATTAGTATTTCACTTGATCTTAGCCAAAAGGCCGAGAAAGATTAGCCAAAAGGTCGAGAAAGTAGTAATACACTTGATCTTAGCCAAAAAGACTAAGAAAGGTTAGCCAAAAGGCCGACCCAAAAAAATTTAGTACTACACTTGATCTTTAGCAAAAAGCCGAGAAAGGTTAGCCAAAAGGCCGAGAAATGTATGATTATTATTTCTTTAGGCCTATAGTTTTATAAGAGGCTTCCATGTAATCATTTCTACTTAAAATGTGGGACAAGAAAAATGAATTTTATTAGATAATTTGTAATTTGAATTAAATTCTTTAAATTAATTTTTATAAATTTTATTAGGTAATTTGTAATTTGAATTAAACTCTTTAAATAATTTTTAGGTAATTTTTTGTTTATAAAAAATCTTTTTTTTATATTAATAAATAAATACTGAAAGACTAAAACTCTTTTTTATATCAATTAATAAATAATTTTTATATTAATAATACTTGTCAAATTAGATTTCATTTTATTAAAAAACTCAAATAGGTAATTTGTGTTAGAATAATTTTTAGAGTTTTATGTTAAAGTTTTAATAAATATTTAATTTGAATTTTATTAGGTAATAATTTTTAGAGTTTCTATAATTTGAAATGTATTTCTTGTTAGAGTTTTAATAAATATTTTATTTGAATTTTAGTAGGTAATAATTTTTATATTTTATTTGAATTTTATTAGGTAATAATAAGGCTGAGAAAGTAGTACTACACTTTATCTTAGCCAAAAAGCCGAGAAAGGTTAGCCATCGACCCAAAAAAAATTAGTACTTCACTTGATCTTAGCCAAAAGGCCGAGAAAGGTTAATCAAAAGGCTGAGAAAGTAATACTACACTTGATCTTAGCCAAAAGGCCGAGAAAGTTTAGTCAAAAGGCCGAGAAAGTAATATTACACTTGATCTTAGCATGATCTTAGCCAAAAGGCCGAGAAAGTAGTACTACACTTGATCTTAGCCAAAAGGCCGAGAAAGGTTAGCCAAAATGCCGTCTCAAATAAATTTCGTATTACACTTGATCTTAGCTAAAAGGCCGAGAATGGTTAGCCAAAAGGCCGAGAAAGGTGTGATTATTATTTCTTTAGGTCTATAGTTTTATAAGAGACTTCCATGTAATCCTTTTTACTTTAAACCAATGTGGGACAAGAAAAGTGAATTTATTAGGTAATTTGTAATTTGAATTAAACTTTTTAAATAATTTGAATTTTTGGGTGTTTGAGTATTTCAGTATTTCTTTTAAAATTAAATTCTTTTTATATCAATTAATAAATAATTTTTATATTAATAATTCTTGTCAAATTAGATTTTATTTTATTAAAAAACTCATAATAAATAGATAAATAGGTAATTTGTGTTAGAATAATTTTTAGACTTTTATGTTAGAGTTTTAATAAATATTTTATTTGAATTTTATTAGGTAATAATTTTTAGAGATTCTATAATTTGAAATGTATTTCTTGTTAATTTTTCTCTCTGCTGTTTGTCATTTTTGGCTACTGGAAATGTAATTTCCTTAGCCCGCACTATCATTATTGGGATGAATATTAGAGGTTTACTTTAGTTTTTACCACAAAAAAAAAGTAGAAATGCTGAGGTAAGGCTTATTGGGAGAACAAACTTCGTACCATAAATGAGCACATAAACATCTTCACAAAACACATGTACTGCTGAGGCATTATAAGGCTTCAAAACTATCACCAACTGATTAAGAGTTTTAATAAATATTTTATTTGAATTTTATTAGGTAATAATTTTTATATTTTATTTGAATTTTATTAAGTAATAATAAGGCCGAGAAAAATAGTACTACATTTGATCTTAGCCAAAAAGATTTAAAAAGGTTAGCCAAAAAGTCGACCAAAAAAAATTAGTACTTTACTTGATCTTAGCCAAAAGGCCGATTCAAAAAAATTTAGTACACTTGATCATAGCCAAAAAGGCCGAGAAATATGTGATTATTATTTCTTTAGGTCTATAGTTTTATAAGAGGCTTCCATGTAATCTTTTTTTATTTAAAACCAATGTGGGACAAGAAAAATGAATTTATTAGGTAATTTATAATTTGAATTAAACTCTTTAAATTAAATTTTATAAATTTTATTAAGTAATTTGTAATTTGAATTAAACTCTTTAAATAATTTTTAGGTAATTTTTTGTTTATAAAAACTCTTTTTTTATATTAATAAATAAATACTGAAATACTGAAACTCTTTGCAAATTTAATAATAATAATATAGATATAAATATAGATATATATTTCCATCTGCAAACAAGGACCCAAATTAGAGAGAGAAAAACCTTTCATTACAGTCTAGCATGCCTTGGAGATAGTTCTTTGAATGGTTCTCAATGAACTGCGCACTTGGCAACGGCCGGCGACAAAATAGAAACGTTAGGCTCGAAATTGAAGCACTGATTAGGCTTCGAATTCAGAGTCCCCAATTTCATGGTCGCATCACCATCGTCCATTTCTCTTGGTTTGCTCCAAACCCTAATTCATATCACAAAGCGGATTAAATAATAGCAAATGAAATCGCCAAAATCTGCCACAACTGATGCCCGAATATTCTTAAGCTTTTGTTGTCATCAACAGTTGTCGTCCTCGGAGTGTCTTCGCTGTTGCATTATCGTCGGAATCTGTTGTTGTCATCGTTGGAATCGCGTCTCGCTGTTGTCGTTGCCAATAACCACCGTCGGAAACCAGTCGTCATGTTGATTTGTCGTCGCCAGAGCTTTTTTATCGAATCTCCGTTGCCGGAATCTTCATCGCAACTTTCCCACGTAGCAAGATGTAGAAGAATTAGTGGGATCTCAATGGTTTTGACTTTTGGGGAAGAAGGGTCAGAAAAATTAGAAGTAAAAAACGAATATTAATATTGTATAAGGGCATTTCGGTCATTTAATTTTTTGATATTTTATTTTAACAATTAATAAGATATTAGAGGGTGAATTAGACATTTCACCTACTTTTAGGCTTTGTTTGGATCTAAAATCTGACAAGGGGTGTCATTGTTAAAAAATTCTCTAACTTTCATCTGGTTGTCAATAGAGCAAACTTCAAGGGTTGTGAGTGTAATTAACCCATTAAAATAATAATGGTACTTGCCCCAATCAAAAAAAAAAAAAAAAAAAAAAAGAAAAAAAAAGGAAAAGAAAAAAAGAAGAGTAATGGTACCTGTGAAATATTAGTACGATCTTTTTCAACAATGGTAACTATGGTTATGGAACTTATGGGTACTAATAATAATAATTAATTGAAGATTCTTAATTATTAAAAAAAAATAAAAAAGAAAAGAAAAGTTAATGATAATGGTACTTATGAAAGAAATATTACTATGTTCCTTCTCAAATATATTTAATAGGAATATATATATATATATATATATATATATATATATATATATATAATTCAATTTTGTGCGGGACCCAACGAACATAAGTGTACCTTTTCAAATTCCCGGAAATATTCCCATCCCCTTTGGGACGTGTGTGTGAGAGAGTCATCTTCTTTGTAACCGACGGCCATTTATGTCCATACAAATTTCACAAACCCATAAAAATGAAAATATCTTCTCTGTCCAAACTACTACTCTCTCTACTCCACTCTTTCCATGGCAGCCATGTCGGCTACTCCCACCGTCTTAACTTTCTCTCCTACCAATCACCACCATTCAGGAAACTTCCCCCAATTTTTTTACAATTCTCTGAAAAACTCCAAAAAAGTACCTCCAAAGTCACCAACTTTTGTTTTCAACGGCGTCCGAATCGTTCATAATCAACGCAATTTCCGCGAAACTTCAATACCCTCTACAGTTTTTAGACTTAATTCCCAGTTTCTTCAAGTGGGTCCTCAGAAAACTCACTCTACTCGAAGCATTTCGGCCAAATCAATGGGGTCGGAAGGCAATACAGCCTCCATAGTCCTACAAAATGTGGGTTTAAATCTTTCACTCATGGATATACTGTTGAATTGTTGTTTGAATTATTTGTTTTGATGGGTTTTATTGATTTGTCCGTTAGGTGTTCGGTGTATTGCATTTGATTGTTTCGCTTGGAATTATACTGGCAATAGACAAATTTTTGAAAAAGGCTTTTGTTGCTGCTGCTATTAAGTTCCCAAGTGCTCTTTTTGGGATGTTCTGTATTTTCTCCATTCTAGTGATTCTTGATTCTACTGTCCCTGCTGTGGCGACGAGCTTGATGAACTTCTTTGAACCTGCGCTTCTGTTTATTCAGAGGTGGCTTCCGTTGTTCTACGTGCCGTCATTGGTGGTTTTGCCTCTTGCTGTTAAAGATATCCCTGCAGCTTCAGGAGTCAAGATATGTTTCATTATAGGTATCTGAATTTTCAGCTACTTAATTATATAATGCATTTTCTATCTATGATTGACATGGGATGTAATTGTTTTATCTTGATGTCTTCTTTTGACTTCTTGTTTTGTGCTTACTGGAAATGGGGTTTTCCCATTTCAGTTCTGTAACGTGAGGGTATGCCCTCACTTCCATTTCAGCTGTATGTACCATCATTTGTTTTTTTATTTTTTAATTTTTTTATAACATAATTCCAATTAGGAAAAAAAGAAATTTGTGGAGCATTTCCATGTGTAGACCTGATATTAATTCCTTTTGAGTCTGTAGTCTTTCTCTGTGTATGTGTAAGCTGTTTCTATATGCAACTGCATCTCACTGTTTCTTGCTTTTCTGCAGTTGGAGGTTGCCTGGCTTCACTTTGTGTTGCAGGTTTTACAGCTATAGCTGTAAGAAAAATGGTAAAGACAGAAATGATGGCCGCTGAGCCTATGGCAAAACCTTCTCCCTTTTCTGCCTTAGAAGTGTGGACTTGGAGTGGGATTTTTGTTGTATCATTTGCTGCAGCATATTTGCAGCCAACGGCACTTGTAACAAGAGCTCGAACATGCCTTCCTTTCCTACTATCCTCTACTGTGTTAGGCTATATTGTTGGTTCTGGGTAAATTTCGCTTTCCTTGGTTTAGACATTCAACAATGGCAGATATTCTCATCAGAACAATTTATTAATTTCACTTATTGTGCCTGTTTAAGTTTGCTTCCTGTTGTCTTCAGGTTGCCCTCTGATTTGAAGAAGGTTTTCCATCCAATTATTTGCTGTGCATTATCTGCAGATCTGGCAGCATTGGCATTTGGATACCTATCCCGGTCTGGAATTGATCCCGTCCTAGGTGCATAGCAACTTATGATTATAGCACTTCTTATATTGATTAATGTTTTGACAAAATTCAGAGAAATGAAAAACATGTTGAATTTTATGACAATTGTTCCAGCTTCAGATGCTTGTAGGCTTTCAAATATTTCCACTGTTGTCCAGTCAAACACATGTAGTGTTAATAGGATTTGCTTTTTAAATTTTTACTGAAACTTTTTGCCAATAGCTTATTCTGAGCCACAACATTTTATGATCCTAAACACACATTTTCTGGACCTTTTATTTTATATTCTCGTTAAAAGAATAATATTATGGAAAGTTCCATCTTATTTGCTGTGCTTTGTATATCTTTCTAAGATTATCTTTTAAAAGTTGAATTGATGCACCTTACATGTGTCTCATGCTCGCTATTTTTATTACCGGGTTTATTGTAATGGTACTTTGTCATAAAGATTAAAAAAAAAAAGGGCTAGCCCAGAGCTCCCGCCATTGCGGGGTCTGGGGAGGGTCAGATGAACACAACCTTACCTCTGCAGGTGGGATGGCTGTTTCCATGATTCTAACCCGTGACCTCCTGGTCACAATGAAGACTTTGTCATAAAGATTGTTCTAGTTTTATTCTGTATTAGTGACTGGGGATGAGGAAAAAAAGTGATTGGACAGTCTTATATCATTTAAAAAGCACAATAAGTGGGTCACTTGAAGAGTGCAAACTTATATTTGCCACTTCTCTCATCTTGTATATATAATTCCGTGTATCCATGTCATGCTTTCCACCTATGCAGTATTAAAAATTCACAAATTAAACTCCAAATTGTGATTGTTTTAAATAGCATTTAGGGCCACGCTTTTAGCTTTGTAAATTCATAGGGTTGGTATATTGATCTGGTAACTCTGTTAACTTACATCATACACAGGATATTACCTTACAAAGGTCTCATCTAATCCTGGAGCTGGTGACATTTTAATGGGATTTTTGGGATCTGTTATTCTCTCTTTTGCCTTCTCAATGTTCAAACAACGGAAGGTAACTATTTTATTATACAAAATAAGCATTTATCTACAATAATTTTGTTTTAATTTTGGCAAGTTGAAACTGGGATTATCTACCAAAACACCTGGAGGAGGTATGCACTTTGTCAATAAGCATGTCCTGGTTCTGATTTCACCTTTTGATGTGTCCCAACAAGGAGATCGTTTTGTCTTGGATGTTATATTTGCATGCATCAGTTTCTATTTACCTTATTAAACAAGTGAAAATAGCAGAGAGTAGATGGCGATAGACCTTCATTTTGGTGAAAGAGATTAAGGAATTTGTACTCAAAATTGTGGTCCGCCATTTTTGTGCACCCCTTTTTTTTCAGATGGACATTGACCAACAGGTTGACCTCGTGGCCTAATGTTTACCTTACTTCACTGTTTCATTTCTGATCGTTCTTAGGAGTTTCTATTGTGAACAGCTCACATACCATTTGGCTATTTCTTTTATAATTGTTATTTCTCCAATTGACAACACATTCTCGCTCCCTACTACTACTAATTAACTATGTAACTATGTATTCTATGCTTTGAATTTTGTTTTGGGGTGGGGTTTTGGGGTGCATGTGCTGTTGTTGTTGTTTTTTTATTTTTTTTTTCGGCGTTGTTAGTAAATGTTCTTTTTAATGAAGTGATTGTTGCTCCACACCTTTAATTGCAGCTTGTAAAGAGGCACGCAGCGGAGATTTTCACATCTGTTATTGTCGCGACCTTATTCTCATTGTATTCAACTGCTCTCATAGGACGTCTTGTTGGGTTAGAACCAACTTTGACTGTCTCAATTTTACCCAGATGTATAACGGTGGCACTAGCCCTCAGCATTGTGTCTTTGTTTGAAGGTCAGTAATCTATTATAATTTTGAAGTTAGATGTCAAGTGGTCTGTGATTCATCTTTTACAGAAAGTAATGATGAATCCAGCATTGATTTATCTTTGATGATGATTATATTTTTTTTCCATAAATTAAATTGATAATAAAATGTTTAGGTGAATATTGGTGCATTTTATTCTTCAATAGATTTTGTTTATATCATTAATGGAATTCTCTTGTTTTCGTAATGGTTTTAGGTGCCAATTCTTCCCTCACAGCCGCTGTTGTTGTGCTAACTGGTTTGGTTGGAGCAAATTTTGTGCAAGCAATGCTTGACAAACTTAACTTCCGTGATCCCATTGCTCGAGGAATTGCAACTGCATCTAGGTATAACTCTGACTGCCCAACTATATATGGCATGATTCCTGGTTATGGTCCATCAAATGATTCTTTGTAGTTTGACATTTATCCAATCTAGGTAATTTAAATCAGCTGACATTGCAGCAAACTTGTTCCCTGCTTAAAACAGCATCTCAAAACTGCTAATTGGTTTTTGTTGAAATATGGACTTCGAAACAATAAATTCCACCTTCAATGAAACCTCAAACACCACTTCCATTTAAAATTGTCAAGAAAGCACTTATTGCATATGCAGAGTCACCATGTCAATGAGATAAAGGAAGAGGATATATGAGACAAAGCCATGGCCTTTTGCAAGTATTTTGGACATTTTAAGAATTGGACTCTGGTATTGTTGTTTTGGGTTGCATGGCTTATTCAGGGATTTTGTGGTTGTCATTATAGTCTTCTACAAGGGATTTTGAGTTTATTATATGTTTCCTGATTAGAAAGGGAGAAGATGAAACTGCAGTTGAAATAATTGACGTGTTCACCGTTCTCTAATAGCTTAAGCCTTGAGATTAGGCCCAATTTCTGACACCGATTTTGAAGCAGCTTGGCCTAGAGAAAAGAACCGATGAAAACTTTATCTGGTATGCAATTATGCTTTAAAATTTCTTCTTTTGGTTGTTTCAGTGCTCATGGATTGGGAACAGCAGCATTGTCAGCTAAAGAACCTGAGGCTCTCCCATTTTGTGCCATTGCTTATGCTCTCACTGGTATATTTGGTTCTCTGATTTGCTCAGTTCCAGCTGTCAGACAAAGCTTGCTTGCTGTAGTTGGATGAAGTTATAAGCAGCTCAATATCTACATTTGGTGATTGGCAGTTCTACCCGTCTTTTTTTATTTTTTTTTTTATCAGAATTCAAGTTTTCCTACAAGATTATTTTTGTCTATTGTGGAGAGAGCAAGAAGGCCTTTATGGCCTAACATACGGATTCTAGCCGTATAGTGTACATAATAAGTCAAACAAGCATTGTTGTTAAGCAATGCATCCATTCATTTCATTATATAATTCTTTTTTTTTTTAGTGCAATACATAGGCTTTGTCCCAGTAATAGAAACATCCATATTTAGGCATCAAGTCGCTTATGCTCAATTGAGGGTAGAACTTACTATATTAATAATGGCAGTGAAACGTCGAAACTGAATTAGGAAAATAAAAAATGTTGAAACTGCCTTAAAAATATTGAACTTAGTTAGTACACTGCTGTCGGAAGACATTGTCATTGTGGGAGGGTATCTTTCTTGTAGAAATATGCTTATCCATAAAGCTGATCCCAATTCACTGTAATATGAACTGATTTGTATTAGAAGATATTGAATTAGAATGTCTAGGCCAGTAAATAGTAGTAGGAGGTGTAAAGGAACTTATGGATGGTGATTCGGAGTTACTGTAAATGCTTCGATCTGCTTTATTACATTTTATCCCAATTTGGTAGTAAAATGTTTCTCTGGATTTGTGTTGCTTCTGGTTGGTTTTTTATTTATTTATTTTTTGATAAGTTGGTTGGTTTTTTATTTTTTTTCCCGTTTGAGAATAGAATTTGGATCTGCTAAATTTTTATCTAAGAACCTCTGTTTATAAACTTTACGTGCTTCCTGCTCGGCTTGATGCGTGGCCTTTTTTTCTTTTCCTTAGGTGCTTTCCACTTTCTTTCTCTCTTCTTTTTTGTTCTTTCAATTCTCAGGTTACCATTTCTTCATTTTACTTGTCCTCAAACTCATTATTGATTTTAGTTTATATTACAGTCAGTCAGTTATGGATTCATTGCTCTATGGGGAAGGATTCCCCCATGCTTTGTGTTGCTGGAGCTTTTATCCTTCTTCCTGCTTCATTCCGTACTAGAATGCATTTCTTTTCCAGATTGCTATTCCTCTTATGAGTGGTTGAACGACGACGACTCATAGATTTATGCCAGGGAGGTCTACGATTGAGGCTATTAGTTATTGAGGAGAAGAATGGAAGATAATGAGAAGAAGAAAGCCTCTGATACGGTACTTAGATAACAAATATGCAGGGTTTCAGGAAAGAAAAACGAGTCAAGAAGGTTTATGTTGACACGACGAAGGACATATACGATGGATGTGTGACTATAGTTAGGATGACTACTCGGGAAATAAGTGAATTGGAAAATAAGTGAATTTTCCAATTACTATAGGCTTACATCAAGGATTAGCATAAAATTCATATGTTTTTGCCTTGGTTATGAATGAACTGACTAGACACGCATTCAAAATGGATTCCATGGTGTATGATACTTTTTTATGATATTGTTATATTTGATTACCTAGAGGAGAAGTAAGTGATAAATTGAAGGATTGAAGAAAAATCTATAAGTCTTAAGGATTTAAGAAAAGTAGGAATAAAACTAGTATATGGAGTATAATTTTAGTTAGAAATACAAATAGGGATCTATTGAAGATTGAGGGTCACGAGGTACCAAAAAGCGAACATTTTCGTTGTTTAGGCTCAATTATCTATAATGAATGAGATATTGGAGATGATGTTAAATGGAGTTCGTCTACTATTTTGTGTGATTCGCGTATCTCACTAAAATTGAAGGGGAAGTTCTATAAAGCAGTGATTAGACTAGATTATCTCTCTCTTTTAATTCATTTTCCATGAAAAATAATAAATCTTACAATACACGTGAGGAGACTTGAACCCTTCACATTTCGCTTGAAAGGATAGAAAATATCACTAGGCCACAAGCATTGGTAGACCACATGTTTTTTTATGGGATAGGATACAGTTAAGAAACAATATATGCGTAAAATGAGTTTGGCGGAAAGAAAATTGTTGAGATGGATATGCAGTAAAGCAAGAACGGATTGAATTAAAAATGAGCACGTCCATAAGATTGTTGAAATATCATCAATTGAAGATAAAATAAGGAAAAATCTATTAAAGATGGTTTGGATATGCGCAAAAAAGACCAGTAAATGCACCAATTAAAAAAAGAGTGACGATCCATATTGAGGATGATGTAGTAGAAGAGAAAAACCAAACTTGTGCACAAAAAGGATCAATGTTAGTGAATTATAGATTCTTGAACTGTAAATTTAATTCTAAAGTCTTCTTTTGGGAAACAAAATCATCCTTTTTGTTCTTTTTATCATAAGCATTATTAGAGCATCTTTTTCTCCATGCTAAAGTTATATTTTAAGAGGAGCTTAGGTGCTAAAATGCTATATTTTAACAATTCTGCTCCAATGGTGTATTTCATTCAAAATGCTATAGCTATATATGAGAAAACTTTTGACAACCTGCAATATATGAGAAAACTAATGAGATTCTCATATTTTAAGAGGCTGTATAACCGATTATTGGAGTGCATCAGCCAAAGAAACCTGCTATATTTTGAGTTTGAGAGGACTTTTAAGAGGGCGTTGGAAACGCTCTTACAGGAGCAAAATGAGAACTTCAAAGGCGGTTGGATTGATGATGCAAGGGAAATCAAGTTACATGGAAGGAAAAGAGAAACAGTATGCCATAAAGGTATTTCTTCAGTGTTCCTTTATCTTCTGAACTGAATTTCTTTTTCTGCTTTTGATTCTATATACTACACATCACAGTCTCTTCAAGAGTTGCAACTGAAATTACATACATGTGGAGTGTTTCTCATTCTCTCTCAGAAGGAATATCCTAACACTCAAACTGAAACAATAAATAGGGAGGGGAAAATAAAATCTAAGGAAAAATTCTGGGTGGAAGGACAATTTTATATGACTTGGTGGCCCTTTGCTCTCAACATCTTCAGGGTCTTTTTAGGCTTTCGTGGCCTCCACCGGAGCCGCGGCCTTGCTGGCCACAAGTTGCTCGTAGAGGTCTCTGATCTTCAATCCGACGATGGTCTGGAAGAGACCGGTACCATTGCTACTGCCCGGGAAGTCAGCGTGCTTCAACATTTGCTGGGTGACTTCACCATAGAACTTGGAGGAGAGGTTGCTCAGATGGCTTTCGACGTAGATCAGCTCATCTAATCTGTCAAATTGCCCATCCATCTCCAACACAGACACCTGAGAGAAACAGAAAGAGTGGTACTATATCTCAATGATCACAGTATAAACATTCTGACAAAGCAAAAGCTATAAACGAGAACAGCTTTGAATCCACAAAGTATAGGCAAAGAGAACTCTGATACGTTATCGATGATTGAATGAATAACTTTGCTCTTGCAATACATGCGGAGAAAAACTAACCCTATCAGAATAATGAAACTAGCAGCATAAGGAAACTGCCCAAAATTCAAATTTCTCTAAAAATTACGAAAACATAGAATAAGAAACCTTATCACTAAAAAATACTAAATATAAAAACATAGTAATTCGTTTAGACCTCAACAAAAATTCAAAAATATTCAGCAATCTCCCATAGACTAAAAACACTATTCTAGGGTCTTAAATGATTGAATTTGGTTGAAAAAATGACATGGACCGCTAGCTTTAGGTTTTGTTCATTGGGTCGCTCTGATCGGGAACGAATATTCTCAAGTCAAAATGACCTAATCAGATAGAACCCGAAAAAAATCGATAAAACTGTCCTACATCACATTCACTTGTAGATTGTACTTTGGAGGTTTTTTTTTACGATGTTGATTAAGAAAATGAGTGTTTTGAAGAATGAAAGTTTGGATATATACCTCCTGGCCAAAGTAAGTGTCAGGGCCATAGGAGAATTTGATGCCAGGGTAAGAACAAGTCAGCTTCCTCCCACAAGGTATCCAGGAGATGGTGGAACCTTCGTCAAACAGGTAAACCGGGTCGAAGTACTTCACTCCTTCTTTCATGATCAACTTTACTCTCAGTACCTTCCCCTCGTTGTCTCCGGGAATGAGTTGCGTCGGCAACACCTCGATAACTGCATCAGCATATTGCTTCTGTGGATCTGCAGCAAGAAGAGGACATGAAAATGGATTGCATTAGTACTGTGAACAAGCAAACCCTTCATATATGGTAGAGAATGAGATCCAAAAACACAATGCAAGTTAAATAAGCATTGTAGGCAGGACGCTGGATCGATACAAGTTGAGGCCGAAACAAAACCTCTTGTCTGTCACAAAGCAGTCGAGAACTTGAAAAATGAAAAACTGTTTTTAGAGAACTATAAAAGATAATTATTTAAAAATTGACCTTTTTTTTTTCGAAAATAGTTCCAACTAAGCAAATTTTTGTACGGTTTTCAATTCCCAGAAAATAGAATCATAAAGGCCCCTTGGATTGTGATTCTTTCCTCACTGTTGTAACTATCCCATTCTATCCTTCCTAATTTTTCTTTTTAGTTTCTCCTCCTAATAATCTTTTTTGTTTTGTTTTGTTTTGTTTTGTTTTCTACACAGGTCCTTCTGCAACTACCTCAATGGCCTTAAGGTGGAGTTGGTAAAGGTAGGGCTAAAGAAAAATTACCAATGTAAGCGTCGAAATCTGGTTTTCGGGCTTCAATGCTGGCTTTGATGCTCTCGAGACTGTGTCCTCGCTCTGCCATGTCTCTCTGCAGTTTTTCGGAACATGATTAAATTCGAAACATGATTAAATTTACATAGTTGCAGAACATATTAGAAAATGGTGTACCTGAATTTTCCAGGCAAATTTAACTTCATTGCTGATGTCCAAGTAGATACTGAAGTCCAAGAGGTCCCTCACACGCTGATCATACCTAAATTTGGCAAAGTTAGTTGATTAAATGAGGCTTGGAATTGGAAATGCAAGTGAATTGCCCATCCGCCAAATAACAAAAAATGAGTAAAAAGAATACATATAGGCATTATATGTGAGGGGGGAAAAAAAAAGAAAAAGAAATATAATAAATGTTGCACTAAAAAATATGGCCTTGGATAGGAAAAATGAAAAAACTAGAGGCTATGTTTGGCAGGTATAGAATTGGAGTTTTGTAATTGAAATTAGAATTGGAGTTTTGTAATTGAAATTAGAATTGGTGAAATTGGAGAAAAATAACTCAGAAAATTGAGTTAAAATTTTCTTCAATTTCGCCAATTCCAATTCTGATGCTCCAATTCCATGTCGCCAAATACAGCATAATAGTTTTTCTTTTGATTTCCAATCATGTTAGATAAATTATGACTAAATATGTATATCATTTATATTTATAATTCTGAGGGTGGCCATTAAAACTACCAGTTTTTTCACAAGTTTTAAGTTGATAGGAAGGGTTCATATACTTATTAAACAATCCCTTATTTCAAAAGTTTAAGATTGAGAGGGTTTAACTTGACAAGTAATTTTTATATTATTAACTGGAAAAAAAAAAGTATTTTTATTTTATCAGGATGTTGATATTAATGACCTTATCTGATAGGGTTTAACTCTCAATTGTATCAAATGTTTTTTTTTTTCTTTTTTTTTTTCGGGTAATTAATTGTTTCAAATGTTTAGGATGATAAGGAGGTTAATATAAAAAACAGAAAAAAAAAAAGAAAAAGAAAAAAAAGGAGGTTAATATGGTTGAACTCTCTCTCTATTAATTATAAATTCATAAGGATAAAATGGGCCCAAGGCATCATCATATAAGGCCCAAGAAGAAGAAGCGGCAAGGAGTGTCCTCAGCCATACAATCAAGTTACCAAGATTGCTCAATATCTCTCTATCAGAATAATAAACACTATATTTATTTAGCATCCATAACTCTACATTCATTTTATTGAGATTGAGAAATGAAATTAAAACATAAAAAATATTATTAATTGAACATAATTTTCCTATATAAATTTCCGAAAAAAAAAAAAAATCATATGTATTTCATATACATATATATATATAGAGAGAGTGAAAGAGTACTTGAAGAGCATTATATAGCCACAAACTAAATGAGATTTTCTTTTTCTTTCTTTTTTTTTTTTTTAATTAAAAAATCTAATCACACAAGAATCCATATATATTATAATACCACAATAAGTCTCATGGAAATTCTTTTGCAAAAAAATTAACAGGAATTTTAAGGAAAAAAAAAAAAAAAAAAAATTCCAAATGTTATTGAATCATCGTATATGTTATAAAACTTACATTGGATGCAACCCTTCAATGACCAGAATCTTGGGGGGCTTAATGAGCTCAGGAGGGTCCAAGAGGCCACTAACATGGTTATAAATAGGCTTGTCAACAGCAGTCCCAAACTTGAGAGCCTTGACCTGCTCATACATGAGATCAAAGTTGTTGGCTCTAGGGTCAAGAGCAGTCACACCTTTCTCTTTCCTCCCCGTCCGATCAAGAGAATGATAGTCATCCAAACATATCACGGTGGTGGTGTCACTGATGAGTGTGTTGGAGTCCGGGTTGCCACCCTTGGGTGGCGCGGCCGCCCCTCCGAACACACTCGTCAGCCTCCTCATGAAGGTGCTCTTCCCGCATCCGGAGTCCGCCGCCAAACCTATCACCACCGTGTTTGCGTCGGCGGAGCACACGAAGCCGCCTCTCTTGCTGGTCCTCCTGTAGAAAACCACCTGTTTTTGGTGAAAACCGAAGTGGGTTTTGGCGGGTGTGGAGATTGAAGCTGTGGAACTGAGGGATTGGATCGTGTAGACTGTGCAGACACCCGCCATTTTCAGAGGATTTTGAGAGAGGGTTTGATGGTTTTAGTCGGTTTTTGGAGGTCACATGAAATGGGCTTTTGATTTTATTTTATTTTATTTATTTTTCTTTTCTTTTCTTTTGTTTCTTAGGAATAATTATTTTTTTAATTATTAAAAAAAAAAAATGAAAGAAGTGGTTATGCTTAAAGAGTAGGCAGTTTTGAAGGATAGGAAGGAGTTAGATTTGATGAGGGGAGGCTGATGTGTCACTGATTATGGGTTTATGTGACACCCTCTTAGTTTGGACAAATTTGGAGGTGATTTTAAGGTGGAAAATGGGAAGACACGGTTGGATTTAGTTTTTGTGGGGTGAGGGTATATCTGTCATTTAAAGTACTTCTCTTTCAAATGGAAATGTTTTTGATGGAATTGTTGATTGGAAAACATAGGGGATGGAGAAGCTTGGTGGTTATTTGTTGCAGTTTGGATATTTGCAATGCCACGTGGCAGTAATAGGGTGGCTGGTTGAAGATGAGGGTTGGAGGGTGTGGAGTGGAGGAGATTTGGACCCAATGTAATCTAAATTGAACTTTGGACACTATTTGTGAGAAGTCAAGATTTTGTGTGTGTGTGTGTGTGTGTAGTTTCACAGTTAGTGAATTCATCATTAATTTAAGACCACATCTTCACATCTAAACCAGTGATGGACAAAAAGATGGAACATAATAGACTATGATTCTTAATTAAGAAAACATTTTCGGACAAGTAAGTTCAATAAACCATCGCAGTGTTTGTAATGTTTGATTACTCCACAAATTTTTTTGGTAGTGAAAAGTGCATCGAATCATATGTTCAACACATGCAGGGTATATTTATAAGAAAATGCATAACCAGAAGTGAAATAATTTGTGTTACTTGAAAATAGGGTATTATCATTATTATAGACCGAATTTGTAAATAATAACCTCTTTTTAGATAGAAATTATTGTTTAAATTACCGGTTGGCATTAGTCTAAATGGTATGATCTCTCTTTGAGTGCTCAAGTCTTGTTAGGAATAATATTATGGATGTGCGCGCGTTTACTTAAACTTGACAATAACCTACTATTAGAGGTCACTTTAAAATTCTAGGCTAGACAATTAAAACAAGCATTATGTTGGAGCTTGTTAGTTTGGCATTCAATCATTTCTTAAGAGTAAGCAGTTGATTGTTGCAACGTGCAAGTACAACTTACAGTGAGAGAAGGTTTTTCCAAGCTTAAAAAGTAAGTCCGAACTGTTAGGAGAAGGGAAATGCAATGTATTTGGACCTCACAATATTATTGTGGGACTTACAAAATTCAACGGCTGACTTTGTGCAATTACGATATAGTTGCCGTGGCTATTTGGATAGCCAATCTTTGGAATCCTAACTCCGAATCTTGCAAGGCAATGTCCTAGAAATTGTGTTTTGTTAGGATTGTTTACTACCTCTAAAGGGGAAGAAACAACTGAACATTCTCGGGAAAACATTTGACTCTAGAGGATCTCTGCAAACAAATAGAGGACGGTATTAGGTGCAAACTTTATGTTGCTCGGCTCTCTGATTGTACTACTTCGAGTTCTGTTGTTGCTGATTGGAGCCTTTCAAGTTCCGTGATTAGTGCCAAACCTCCATAATTTTGTACTTTGTACGTAGCTGCTCTGAGTTTTTGTTGCTTCACTGAGCTCTGCTGCTGCTTTTGGGTGGTAACCGCTAGTTGGATGGGTCGGCTTTTGAGGCCCTTTTGTAATTGTTTTTGGGCCTTTAGGTCATTGGGCCTTTTCCCTCCTTTTGTACAGTTTTTCCTTTTTAATACATTTAGTTACCAAAAAAAGGGAAAAAAAGTTGACAAAGTTATTTCATAAAAAAATATTTAGGAGTTAAGTCACGAGAGTGCAAGCAAATTAAAAAACAATTGAAAGGGGCAAAATTTAAGCAGAATAAGAACGGAATCGAACATTTGCAGAGCGTGTGAGCGGAAGGATGTGCATAAGTACATTATTGGTTTTTCATTGTTACTTGAACCAGATTTTCTGTTTAAAAAAGCAACGTCATGAAATATTGAAAATTTCTGTCATTAAACTAAAAAAAAGAGAGAGCAGAAGCGTAAACATAAAAGCGGCAAAATTTAAGTCTAAAATGAAAAAATGCAAGAAGCATGATAGTGACACCTATTTAGAAGAAGTGGATGTAATCCATCCGATGTAAATTAGTAACAAATGAATACGCGTTCAATTATAAAACTAGAAAAATAAAAAAATAATACTTAGCATCACAAGAGTCATGATGAGCTCAAGGGTCATAGCAGGTTGAGGCGTGCATCCTTCAAGCACCCACCATGTAGAGTTTAAAATAAAATTTGAAGCCCAGCCCAATATGTGGACCAGGCTTAGTGTTGGGCTCACAGGCGGAGGCAGGCCATATTAATGGGCCACATTATAGGGTAAAGTGCAAAAAACCTCCCTTCAACTATTGGCCATGAAGCAGAAAACCCCCCTGATCTACTAATTTGACATATAACCCCTATGAACTAACCAATTTGGTGCAATAAACCCCGTCCGGTGATAAGTCGGTTGAATTTAACTGTGAAGACGCACATGATGGGTCACGTGACTATCCAAATTTCTTTAAATGACCATACAACCCTTTAAGCTAAGCGAATCAAATGACACATATACCCTTATTATTGTCTAGTCCCGGAATAGTGCTCGAGCCACAACCAAACAAGGCCTAACTATCTGTTGTATCCTATTGTAAAGCCCAAACACAATATACAATCCAAAAAATGATAAAAAAAATAAAAAAAAAACAGATCCAAAATCGAGCAAGAGGGGTTAGCTGTGAAGAGCTCGTCCGAGATGGAGGGGTCGGCTATGAAGAGGTCGTCCGGTGAGGGTTCGGCTGTTATGGTTTGACTGGCGATGGAAGAAGAAGCTCGGCTGTGAGATTGCGGCGCGGCGCGGCTTGGCGGGATGGAACGGCAGTGGCTTGCGGCGAATCTGAAATCAACAGGTACGAGCGTAGAGAGAGAGAATGAGCGATTATTAGTCGGCTGTAATTGCCCTTCGCCTCAGCTATGCCTGAAATTACGTCGTCGCCACCACTGCAGCAGATCGATTTATTGATGACGATTTGGTAACAACCTGCAAATCAAGACCGGTGGTCGTGTTGTGAGTTCTTGGCTTTCATTTTGGGGTTTGGATTTGGTGGTCGTGGTCGTGGTGGTGGTTGTTTCGCAGTTCAGTTCTTCCTCGATGGCACCCTCATACAGACCGGCTAACTTGGCTTTTAAGCTCACTCTTCTCTCTTCTACTTTCTCTCTCTACATAATAATAATACTTACTCTCATAACAAACCAAAGTTTTCAACTGGCCAACCCTTTGAATATATTGTCTAATAGAGATATTTACATACAATTTGATATCGATTTAGAGAGAGAAAGAGAAGATGAAAGGCGAATACGTAGAAGAAAAGGATCGCCCAAACAACATGTTCACCAAGCTCAACCAGACCTACAATTTCCACCACCACAATCACTTCCAACTCACCTAAACTTCCGAGGAAGCCGACAGCCGTAGTCCGAGTGGCGCCATCACACCCACTGTAAGAGGCGGCGATGCAGCCACCATCGAGGTGGTTCGTCGCGCCAGAGGACGACCTCCTGGTTCTAAGAACAAACCCAAACCACCCAGCATCATAACTCGCGACACTGAGCCTTCCATGAGCCCGCACTTGCTTGAGGTCGCCGGTGACGTCGATGTGGTTGATGCCGTGTCGCGGTTTTGCTGGAAAAGGAATATGGGTCTTTGTGTTCTCACCGGTTTGGGCACCGTAGCGAATGTGACTCTCAAACAACCGTCAACCACTCCTAGAGCTACAGTCACATTCCATGGCCGTTTCGACATACTTTGTCTCTCTACGAAAGTGCTCCTATTTGATCTACTAATTTTTCTTAATCGGGTTCGTTTACCTGTGTCACATTGGTTCTGATCCAGCTGCCGGAATTGCGAGGACTTCCAGCAAAGCTTTCTAAGGTTCCTTTTTGTTGGGATTACAGCCTCCATGTCACCATGGTCACAAGGTTGCTTTTTGTTGCTGAAATTTTAACTGAAACGACGTAGTTTTTACCTAGTTTTTACCTAGTTTTTATAAGGAATAAAATTGTCTTTTACTATTTCTGTTTACACCAATTGGTCGGAGATCTCACATTGGGGGTTAATTGCATCAAATTCAATAGTTCAAAACGGTAATTTGTAATTCAGGGGGTTAATTGCACATGGCCAATAGTTAAATGAGGTTTTTTTTGCACTTTACCCCACATTATATAACTACTTATATATTATTTATTGAATTTGAATTTATAATTGATTATTTCCTTTATATTGCTGGTATATTATATCAATGACTTCTTCTATAATAATTATTTGAATCGAGACAAATAATTATTAACCACCACACCAACACAAATTAGAGTAATATAATAAATAAAAATGAAACAAGTATATGTCCCAAAAGAAAATTATAAAAAAATAAAAAAGGGAGTAAAAAGTTAGAAACACTCGTTCCGATTCTTACGGTGGGATGAAAATGATTCCATTTTCTCACTTGAAGTTTTTATAAACTAAAAAGAGTGGAGATGTGAGGGATTTAAATAGAGGGAGAGAAAAGAAAGAAGTTTGGGGGTATGATGACTAAAAAAATTATATGAGAGGGAACAAACTTATATAATGGAGTTTTGGTTTTAATTTCAGTAGGGCAATGTTAAAATTTTATGTTTTTATAATACTCAAAAAAAAAAAAAATTTAGAATATATAAGACTCAAGGTTGATAACTTTAAATTAAACATAACTTAGAAAAATCAAAATACCAAAAAAAATATAAGTATGAGTAGTTGGAAAGTCAAGTACCCTCAATTGCATGTTCCTTTTGGAAACAACTCTTTATTCTTCTAACTAATTACTTAAGCAGTTACATGGTGTTCGGATTTGGACTGGATCCGAATCCGATAAGCATTTTCTCTATCCGATCTGATTCGATAAATGAACGGATATTTTGTAAGTAAATTCGAATCTGATTTGTTAATAAACGGATATTTGATCCGATAATCC